ATGTACACTAAAGTGTGACCCAAACTATTTACAAGTTACAAACTCAAGTTACAAATCCAGCTGCATAGTTCATAAGTAGTTCAAATTATAAATAAATAAACAATCACTTTAGTTTTGGTCATGTCGAGGAGGCCCACAGAGTAGCGGTCACAGTTGAGGAAGGCTCGGACTGTATAGAGGGCCTTGTGGAACTGTCTCTCAATGTCAGTCAACTCCTCAAACACTTTGCTGGCAGACCAGAGCAACACCTTCAATGAATATATGAGAGAAAATGACAAAAGACTTTAAGTGGCAGTGTTTATTGGTAAATGTCTTAAAGTCTCGTTAATGTCTTGAAGAAATCCTACCTGTCCCCTTCTGGTCTCACAGTTGTGCAGGTAGCTCAGGTGAAACACTCGAAGCACAAGATTGGCAAAGTTGAGATATTTCTTCAGCGTCTACAAAACACAGAGTTTGATTTACTTCAACAGAGCATTTCATCTGTTCTGTAGAAGTCAGTTTAATCAAAGTGCTTTCACTGTATGAATATTAATCGAAAAGTTGCTGCCTTAAATTAAATTACATTAATCTGACTTCAAAAATTAGCTGAATCTTGCTTAACTTATTTTGATGAGTTAAAGCAATGTACAAAACTGTTGTCATTTTGAGATTGAGATTAAAAATGTGTGACGAGACCAATGCATATAATTATTATTTTCTGCATTATTTACATTTCAAATTGGCATCCTCACCCGAGACTTATTGTTAAGTTTAAACCCAAAGCGCTGTACTCACTAGTATTACAGAGGATGATGAGTGAATATACCTCTTCATCCTGAGCAGTGAAATGTGGAGCACCGATCTTGTTGACAGCCATCATGACGGCCACCATGTCTTTGCCGTTCATAATGGGAGTCGCGAGCATACTCTTGGTCTGGTACTCTGTCAGGGTGTCTACAAAGTCACTGAAGTGGCTGTCCTGGAGAGGGAAGCACATTTATTCATGGTGAGAATGTTAACGTTAAATCAGTGTTAAGATAAAACGTCACTGATGCGCACAATTAAATCATTTAATTTACCTTTGAATAAAAGTTTGGAGGATTTATTGTTACTAGCAGAGTTACCATGCCTAGTAAAATGGTAAAACACTTTACAATAATACAAATGCATTAACATTTATTAAAAATCAACATACATTATATTTGTTACAGTATTTTGAATGTTTGTTAATAGAAAAAAATACAACCGTTCATTGTTAGTTCAACCACAGGTCCATTAAATACTATTAAAAGATACAAACGTTGTATTAGTACATTTTGAAATTAACATTAACCTAGATTAATGAATGCTTTAGAAGTATTTTTTATTGTTTAGTTCATGTTAACTAATAGTATTTAACTGATGTTAACAAATGGAACCTTATTGTAAAGTGTTACCAAATATTTTTACACTGCAAAAAAAGATATGTTCTTACTCACTACTTTTGTCTTGGTTTCCGATTAAAATATCTACACATTCTTAAATCAAGATAACATTACTTAAGAAGCAAATTTGACTGACAGTAAATTAAGTGAGCTTGAGCTTAAAACAAGAAAAAATATCTGCCAATGTGGTCAGAAAAAATAATCTCAATTCAAAGGGTAACATTTAATTTTTTTTTTTACGATACTGGCATGTTTTTGTTGTAAGCCAGACATATTTTTTTTATTTGTTTTTATAAAACAAGACTTAATATCTTATGTCATTTTGTCTCAAGCAATTGTCTTTATCTTGATTTAAGAATTGTACTGGAAAACAAGACAAAAATAATAGATACGAAATTATTTTTTGCAGTGTATTTAATGAAATGCGTTTACATATTTGGTAACACTTTAAATCATGCATAATTACATGCAACTAACCCTAAACCATACCCTAATCCTATAGTAAGTACATCATGTTAATTAATATTACTCAGTATTTACATGCATAATTACACACCTTAACATAAAGTGAAACCATTTTTTTTTCTATGGGCCAATATCAGACAAAAAATATAATTCTAGATAATATTTGAATAACTGAAATTAATAAAAACACAGGTTCCTTTGAAACATTAAATTCTCCATATTCTGTTCCACAACAACAATAGAAAGGGAATGTTAAATGTAGAGTTTAATGTAAGCACTGATATTCTGCTGACGTGTGGAACATGGCGTTAGGCACTGACCTTTAGATTTAATCCAGGATCGCTCTAATTCAACTCAGATTAAAGACTTTTATCCCCTCCAGACCTGGTCACAAACTGAGGAAGAGCGCTGACCTGCTCTAATCCACCAGCCCTATAGCTTTGCATATTAATAACTGAGCTACGGTGCCATACACATAAAAATGGAAGAAATATGATTCTCAGAATGTAGCCTACAAAAATCGCACACTGTCCAATGTGTAATGCCTAAAAAGAGGGCAACACTTTTCGCATATGTGCTTGCTTACAAATATCAGCACATCTGTGGACAGTTGTGGTTACTCAGCAGTCTGGCAGACATCTTAAACTGAGATAGGATGCTGTCGCCACCTTGAGGCTTTCAAATAGGCTTACTTGGTATTTCAGTCACATAACGCCGTTCTCAAAGATTGAGAAACCCCCTTTTTTTTTTTTAAATGATTATGAGCAGTACAGAGGAAAGTAAATTGCTGTCTGATAAGCAGTGAAGCACATTGTGTGCCAAAGAAAAATTAATTTATAATCAAGGAGAGAGGGAGATTTCATGGCTGTCTCTGCACAACACATTCAGTCATATCTGTCTGTGCAACATCATCTCCTGCACATTTCTCAAATATATCAGCAATGGGCCGGTATAATTAGCATAACATCCTATTTTAGAGATAGAGAATGTCTGATGGCCTATTTCATTCTTTTTTTCCTTTTAATACCAGAAAATTGTTTTAAACGGTCGGTTCATACATAATTCAATAAAAACAGGAAGGACCAATCTATAATTTATTCTGCTAATAAAAATGAAATTTTGAATAGTCACACAGTCATTAACTTATATTTTGGTCTGTCTGATCATTACTGATGAAAATATGACTATAAAATGTTAGCGTTGCACTGCTCTCTACTGGTAATAATGTGAATTGCACTCTCATATTAATAACTCACAGGACCGAGATACACTGTTGCTGCCTTAAATTTTGAAGTACAATCAACTTTGGATGTTTAAGTCATTTCAACTTAAATTACATTAAACTGACATTAAAATGAGTTGAATCTTGCATAACGTATAAACAAAGATGAAAATTGCTTATTTTGATGAGTTAAAGCAATGTAAAAACATGTTGTAATAACTTATTGATCATATACTTTTTTTACAGTGTAACTTAACTAGGTATTTATGGTATAACTGGTTATGGCTAGTTATCCTATTCCTATCCTAAATGAAAGCTTGTTTCCATTCACTGCCACACAATAAAACAATAAAAAGGCATCTGCGACTTTTTCCTCACAATCCTGAATTATGAGTTTATTTATCGCAGTTCTGACGTCTTATCTCAAAATTGCAAGTGTGTGTCATAAATCTGAGGAAAAAAGTCAGAATTATGAGATATCAAAATAAATCAGAATTGTACGAGATTTTTCATTCCGTGGCAGAAACAAGCTTCCATAATCCTACCTTTGTGACATCAGGAATATTGACGGTCTTCTTGGCAGTGGCCACATGGCCCACAATGCCAGTGTCCAGCGGGTACACAATCTCACTGTCCGGTGGCACCAGACACTCCTCCAGTGTAGCATCTTTATGGACATTGAAGATTCGCGTGGCCAGTTCAGCTATGCCGTTCCTCTGGCGGTACATGAAGAGACTCATGCGGTCTGCTCGTATCATGAAGGTGAGATGCCGCATGAGGTTGAACACGGCCCTCTCCATCTGCAGGTTCTCCTGCATGTCCCGCACCATATCGAAAATGATCTCGCACTCCTCAATAGAGCTCAGCTCATGGTAAGAGCTGATGTCCACTTCTGCTTTCCTGGTGGTCGACAGAAGGTCGGAGATGACCTTCGCCCGGAACCTGGAGTCATAGTACTGCTTGGCAAATGTTGGATTACTGTCCAAAAACTTCTCAGCCACATCCTTGTCCACTGCAGCCATTTTATCTTAGCTGTCAGTGAAGTATTACACTTTTCTGAATAGCGTTATAGTTGTCCTATGAAACCTGGCAGCAGGACGCAGAGAAACCTTTGGGATTACTGGAGATTGTTTTAAAGAAGCATCTACGTGTGCTCATAATCCTGTCCAATTGTAATAAGGATTATGACATTCACCTGACAGCAGCCACAGGCATTTTGCATAAATATTTGTTGACACAATTACAACATCTGAAAAATGAGTCGTTTTTAAGATTAAGGTTGTATTGAGACACCAAGACTGTATTTCAGTAAAGCACAAGAGGGTCTGCATAAATTCTATCCCTAATCAAAAGGTAAACATAACTTTAAAAAGTTGTTAAACTTATTAAGTATATATTTTTAAATAAATTATTACTTTTATTTTAGATGCATTAACTATAATGTATAATATTATATTTTTCAAGTAAATGCTGTTCTTTTGAACTTTTTATTCATCAAAAAATCCTGAAAATCTTTTATCATAGTTTTCACAAATATATGAAGCAGCCCAACCACTTTCAACATTTATGATAATAAGAAATATTTTTGAGCACCAAATCAGCATATTTGGAGTAGTATAAAGACTGGAGTAATGGCTGCTGAAAATCCAGCTTTGCAACAACAATATATTCAATATAAACCAGCTATTTTAAACTGTAGTAATATTTCACAATATTACTGTTTTCCTGTACTGTATATACAGTATATATATATGTGTGTGTGTGTGTGTGTGTGTGTGTGTGTGTGTGTGTGTGTGTGTGTGTGTGTGTGTGTGTGGTAAATGTATGACGACAATTGTTTCACTCTACCATTTAATAATGGCAATCTTTACATTTACATAACAATTTGCGAACTGAAATGTGTTTTTATAACATCTCAAGGTCTACATATTTAAGGCGCTTCATATATATTTTAGAAAAAGTGTACATATGAAATGTCTGTTTTATGAAACATACATGTTTTGACAGCAGTCGGTCTGAAAGACTGCATCTTATTCTCTTCAGTGATTTCATCCTGACATCAAAAAAGCAAATGGACTTAATAAATGTTGGCCCTGAAAGAGAATGAACAAATACTGGGTATAAATACAAGGTATTTTAAAATACCAGATATGTTAATAAGCAAGTCAGTTACCTAATACCTTGAGAATTATGTTCCAAAAATTGCTTCTCTAAATTCCCACTTTAATATATCTATTCTAATCCATGTATATGTCTCTGTATAATGACTATGCCTCTTTAATACTATGGGATAAATATGTTGAAAAACGTACAAAATACAAAAACAGTTACCTTGAAAAAATAGAGATCGTCATCATTCCCAGAACCAGCTCAAAGCTGTAAAAGCAGAGCAGCACAGCATTGAGTACAAACTCAAGGCGTAAAACAAAGGTCTGAAGCAGCAGGAAGTAGACGCTCAGCACTGCACAGGGCACCAGAACACCAACACTCACACACAGAGCTAGAGAGCGCTGACACAGGTTCCCCTTCCAGCCTGAAAGTCACATTTCACACGCCATTATTTCATTTTCTACATGGATCAATGCACTTTCACCAATACAAAATGTACACAGCAAAAAGGGTAATCAATCTTTGTTATCAAGCTGATATGACAATCATCCACTCATCGCCAAAGCAGGGTTGTGCTGCATTCACAGCGCTGAGCAGAGAATGTCTTTAGAATTCAATTCCAGAATTCTAACTGAACTTAAACTGATGCTGCACACAGAATGTAGAATTGCAAATCAAATTCAAATGGTAGGCATTCGAAGAAAAAAAATAGTAAAACAAGTAGTTTTTAAATATTTTCCATTTTCATATGAATTATTACTGTAATTTGCATTTCATTAATGTTTCATATAGTTCAAAAAATTACATTTATTTCGAGGACAATGGAAAAACACATTTCCAATTTTCCAGAATGCAATAATTTATGTCTTCAAAATCAAGCCAAACAATATAAATCTAAACTAATTGAACTGAATTTAGTTTTCGGTAACACTGTATTTTAAGGTGACGTGGTCGTAACGAGTAACTATGTCACCTTATATTAAAGCGTTCCCTAGTTTTCACTCTCACTTTTTACAAAAGTTTCGCACAATAATAACTACATTATTCAATTTAACTATGTATGGCTTTTTATGCCTTGATGTGTACGTTGTATAATATACTTTTCTCTGATTAACTAATTCGAAATACACTACCGTTCAAAAGTTTGAGCATTTCATTTTTTAAATGTTTTTGAAATTAGTCTTTTATGCTTACCAAGACTGAATTTTGATATAGTAATATAGTAAAAACAGTAATATTTTGAAATATTATTGCAATTCAAAAAAGCCTCTATCAATAGATTTTAAAAATTATTTAATTATTAAAAATATATTTGTTGAAAACAATTGTTTAGCTAATATATTTGTAGAAACTGTGATATGTCCCCCCCCCCCCCCCAAAAAAAAAGAACAGCATCCTCCTTACTGAATAAAAATATTAATTACTTTCCTCCAAACTTTTGAAAAAAAAAAGTGTCTAATCAGTTAATTAGAGAAAAATGTATTGTACATATCAACGAATAAATAAGCAATTAGTGAAAACGAAGTGTAATTATTAATATTATTATTTTGCAAAACTTTTATAAGACTAATACATCTGTTGTGTGACTATTTTATTTCTCTGAAGGGCAATACTGTAAATTGCTCTTCCTGGCATCTCATGTTTTGCCCAACCCTGCTCCCCAATGAGGGCTTCTGAATGAGGATCATTTCAGTCCTCTGGTTGACATAAAAAGTCAGTTCTACAGCTGCTACTTGTACAAAGCACCGCTCACAAAACAACATTTTATCACACTGACCATAGAAGAGTCTGAGGGTCTCAAGGCCCAAGAAGAGGAGCAGCAGGACAACATCCAATATCAGGTTAGCTTGTGGGTAAGGGAGTATCACCCCTACAAAAGCCAAAGCAAACAGTGATTACATCACAAATACATACATAATATAAGCTTCAACCGCTAGACCCTTTAATGAGTCCATACCTCACCTTTATAGATAAACATAAGAATCTCAGCGATGAAGAATGCTGCAAAATACCAGCCGTTCAAATGAAACAGGATCTGCAGTGGTGTGGAGGACAACTGAGAGACTTTGTTAAGAAGAAACATAAACAGAACAAGCTAAGATAGACGTGTAATTATTAAGGAAACTGTCATGTGAAGGGATGAAAGACCTGAAAAGGATACAACAGGTTGTCTTCCTGCAAAAGTAAAAAATATTGAATCAATGAACATAACGTAGGTCTGGAGGGACTGGGGATGGGGAACTATTTTTCTATCTGGGTGTTTTGGTCCTAAATCTTACAAAAATTAACACAAATCTGACCACTATAAATATAGATCTGTTTTTAGCAAACTTTAAGAAATGATGTTGAATACATGAAAATACTTAGGTAATCTTTAACATTAAACATTTGGTTATCAATATTTATTTCTTCTTTTTTTAATACACAACAACGAAAAAATCCTAGCTGGTTGAGGTGATTTAATCTTTTTTAAATTTTTCTCAAAACATAGTTTCACTAGCGAAACGACAAAGCCTTGGAAGTCTTCTCAGACAGCGAGCTTTAGATGCAACTTCTACAGTGTCTATTAGACAGAAGCAACACATAAATACCACAAGAAATGTGGGTATGTACAATAATGACAAAACGAGTCGAGCTTCACCATGGTTTGTGCCACAAGCGGCAACAACTAACTTAGTAATTCAATCATCCCCGATCTAGCAGATAAATTAAAATAAACGTTCAGCTCATAAGAAATTGAGATTCATAGACAACAGATAATTCAAAACAGTAATCTTTTTTTTCTTTGCATGCCATGACAACACAGTAACGTTAGTGTTGTGAATGGCTAACATTAGCTAGAAGATGCCTCCTCTCCATCCGATACAAAAGGTCACTATTTAACTGCTTGTTTTTTCACAAAACAGTTTATTTGTTTTCATTAAAGACACGTACTGTATTCACAATAAAACATAGGTCAATGCGTGACGACATTGAGCTAAAATCAAGTCGTTACAATAAAATCCCCCACATCAGCATCCTGCTTACCGTGTGCGGCCATGTTGGATCGCCATGGAAACGGCATACTGTGGGCGGAGACAAACATCATCCGTCCAATCAAAACCCGCATCAAGAAAACAAGCGCGGGACATGCTTTTATTAGAGCAGAACCGATATTACTGTATTCTGTTTTATTTATGAGTTTAATACAGTACACTGTAAGAAAATACATGCCTTTTAACAACAACAAGACTGTTTTTGTAGATTACTATAAAAAAAAATGTAGATTACTAATAAAATCATTAATGATTCATGAAAGAGAAAAACAACAACAAACAGGGTGAAATTAAAACAAAATTGCATTTGAATTGGAACGCTAAATCACAACACGTATAATATATTATGTGAATTAAAGGGTTAGTTCAGCCAAAAATGAAAATTGTCATTTACTCACCCTTCCAAACATGTATGAGTTTTTTTCTTCTATCAAACACAAAAGAAGATCTTTTGAAGAATGTTGGTAACCAGACAGTTGACGGTAGCCATTGACTTACATAGTATTTTTTCCCCTCCTACTGTGGAAATCAATGGCTACCGTGAACTGTCTGGTTACCAACATTCTTCAAAAGATCTTTTTAGTTCAACAGAAGAAAAAACTCATACAGGTTTGGAACAACTCAAGGGTGAGTAAATGATGACAATTTTAATTTTTTGGGTGAACTATTCCTTAAACTAGAGTATGCTATCATTATGAATGTCTATGAAGGATTTCTGTATTGTCTTGATTCTAGTCAAGGTTTATGATGAACTGTTTCGCTCCTTGTGCTCCTAAGAGAAAGAGAATAAGAACATATGTAAGTCCTGTAGATTTTGTTTTACCACATTACAGATAAAATATCAAATATGATACACATGCAAACAGATATATAGATATGCAAAATATTTATGCCTTCAGCTTTTGATGATGCAAGGGGGTCCTGCAGTGGTTATCCTTGGCCTCTTCCTCATTGGCATAGATGGCATTACATAAGCTGCAGAAGTAACCCACCACAGGTCGAATAAACTCTGTCCCTGTTGGTAAAGTGCAACAGATCAGTTGTGCAGAGGCAGAGCTGTATTATGCATATAGCACAGACATGAGTGCCTTTCTGCTTTTCTTATATGGTAGCTAATACTAGCAAAATACCCACACACATTTTCATTAAAGGAATAGTTCACCCCCCAAAATTCCATAATTTACTTGCTCTCAAGCCATTCTCAGTGTAAATGACTTCCTTCTTTCAGCCAAACACAAATAGAGTTATTTTACATAATATCCTGGCTCTTCCCAGCTTTGTAATGGCATTGAATAGTGCTCGAGTTTATGAAGCACCAAAAAGTGCATTCAACATAAAAGTAATCCATACGACTCCAGTGGGTTATTAAATGCCTTCTGAAGCGAAGCGAAGGGTTTTTGTGAGAAAAATATCCGTATTTAAAACTTTATAAACTATAATCACTGTCTCCCGGCAATAGCAGTATGCACGTTCACCAGAGAGTGGAGTTCTGGCGGAAGGGTGACCTCTGAACTGACGTATGGCGTTCACGTGGTTTGGCAATTTTCCTTAAAACTTCTTGTTTTAGACTTCTAATTCGTGACCAGCATTTTGTTTTTCCCTATACTCTGCGCTTCTGCGTTTGTCAATTCTCACCTAAGTTTACGCTACATCATACGTCATATGTCGGGTCAGAGGTCACCCTTCTGCCGGAACTCAACTCTCTCCTGAACGCTTTCGGCAAAGGCCGTACGTGCCAGTTTCAGAAGCCATTTATTAAGAGACTGGAGTCGTATGGATTACTATTATAATGAATGCACTTTTTGGAGCTTCAAATTTCGGGCACTATTCAATGCCATTACAAAGCTCGGAAGAGCCAGGATATTAATTAATACATCTCTGATTGTGTTTGGCTGAAAAAAATAAACTAATTTACACCGAGGATGGCTTGAGGGTGAGTTTTTGGGTAAAAAATTCCTTTAAATGCATTGAAGCTCTATAGATATTTCCATCGCTATGTATTTCCAGGGCAGCTTCAGGTCTGGAAATCATAATTTTTTAATTCCTTATATCCAGGTTTGTGGAACCCTACACAGATCTTTCCGGGTTGGGCTTGTAACAGCAGCTTCTAAAGAGTGAAACATGCTCTTACCCACTGGATCCATATTGGGTGTTTGTGCCAATGACAAACTGTCTGAATTTTCAGCCTCGATTTCATTTCCACCATCAACGTCAGAATCCTGCTTCTTCTCTTCCTTTGAGTCGGCATCCTGATTATCACTCCACAACTCCTAAAACCAGTGTAATTCATCATTAAACACACGGTATCAGTAGGTATACCGCAGAGCAGCAGCTACAAGCTTACAAAACAGGGATTTGACAGGTGTTTAAATTGCAAAATAATATAGTGACAATAATTGACCTCAACATTCACTGATGTTTTGTGTTTTGGATTCATCATTTACCTTCTCCAACTCAGTAGATGTTAGTATGGAACCATCACTAGGTCCATGTAGAAAGTACCTAGCAAACAATAAAAAACCAGAAAGATGCTAAATCAGTACAGTGATGCAATGATTTATTATTTTCTGAATTTTACGTCTTTTATGAAAAAATACAGTTTTGTGCACAGTGTAGAATGCTATAACACAAAATTAAGTGTTTGTCCAGTTTTCAATCAGAAGAACAGTGACTTTATATTTCCTGTGATTGTATGGAGGATTTAATTAAACCTACATTTAACGTCCAACAAATATTTAATTACGGTAGAATAAACATTTCAAAGTTACTTAACTTTTTTTTTCTGTTGCACTTAGCTCAGTAACATCTAATGGTGACTGTGTTGGGTTGTGCACTTTTTCCAAAGCAGCTTTTTTCAAATGTTTTTTTTCCCAATAGAAATGCATCTTCCATTACTGTAAAGTGACATCACTTGACTAATTGATCATTAAAATAATTGCTGACTATAACAATTTTTTGCAACCCTGACTCTTAGTTAAAGATTCTCCATATGGGTTCAAAGTTCTAAATGCGTTCATTTTTAGTAACAAACTCCCATGACCAGTCAAGTGCATTAAATACATCAATTCAATTCATTACCTTTTATTTAAATGGGCATGTTTGGTAGACACTGAAACCTTGGGATGTTTTCCAGCAACTGTAATTGTATTCATATTGGCCGCAGATACAACCTTCTCAGCATCACGGGCATTTTCCATTTCAATCAATCCCTGGGGGAAAAAAACAAGAGAGAATTGTAAGATTTTATTGATGAAACCACGGAATATGTTCGAAATATATATGGCAGTAATATTTACTAACTGTTCGATGGAGGCGAAACATCCAATGACGCTTTACATTCCCATATGGTTCTGCGATGCTCAGAAAATCTGCATCACTGTATTCGTCAGACATTGGAAGATTTCTGATCCGGAGGACTCTACCATACTCTTCCTGAAGTATTGGAAAAAGAATAATACTGCAATGCTTACACATGTTTTGTGGACCCCAGAAAAAGACAATTGTATTATGTTAGAGATTCATTTTAGACCCAGAGTTAAATTATTTCTTGATTTGACCTCTTCATCACTAGACGTTTGCATGATTGCATCCGTGTTGGTCTCAGCAGCTTCTTCAGAGGTCTCAGTCATCACTACTGTACTCTCCTCAATGGACGTCAATAAGCATGAGGGCTCCTCAACATGTTCCTGACCATCCGCTCTCCCAGAGTCAGAGTCAACACTTTTCCTGAAACAGAATCAAACATCATCTGTTGTGATTCTCATATGACTGGGCACATCAAAACACCCAAGCACAATAAAGCAATAGGAAAAGGATTTTATTTGAGAAATTTTAAGTTACCCTTCATTTACTTGGCTGTACGTCTTTGACACAGTTAACCTCAATATTTTGCCACCTAGTCTAATGCGTTGCCTTTTAGACTCAACTTCAAGTTTTGCAGCATCAGCAGCATTCACCATCTCAATTAATGCCTTCTCCACCTGCAATGAAAACATGATATAACCACCATTAGAATCTTCTGAAATTTATTCATTTATATAAATTATTTTTGGTAATAACTTTACAAAGATTGTATCATTTGACTTCTTTATTTTTGGACCTGTGGCTATGTTAAGACAGAAGTATTTGATAACATCGATTGAAACTTGTACACTGGTACATCCATTTCTTTTCTGCGAGTTTCAAAGAGGCGCACATTTAATATGCATGCAAGTATAATGTTTTAAACCGGAATACAAGAATTATAGACTGCATATGAACAGTTTGCATACACTTTTTCCTTCTATTCAATGTTGAATTTAATCATTTTACCTTTCGATTGCAGCGAACCAAACAGCAGTCTGCCACATCTCCGTATTTTCCCCCAATTTTCAGCAAATCGGTTTTACTGTATTTTTTAGCCACTGGAAAACCTGCCACCTCAAGAACTTTGCCATACTTTTCCTAAAGAAATTAAGCAAATTATCCAGAACTCAAAATCCATGCCTGTAAAAATTTTTTCCATATGTATATATATATATATATATATATATATAAAAATATCACATACACTTTTGAAGGGAAAACCGACTAACCTCAGTGCTTAAAGCGGAAATCTCCATTTTATCACCTAAAACAGAATGAGCATACTTCCTCAATTTCAATATCTCTGAAATCTCCAAAATGAATAAAGGAACAGCTATACAAACATACAGCAGAACTTTATTGTTTTTATGGTTGAATTATTGAATAACTGTGCAAAATAAATACCTTGTTCTGTCAGCACTTCCTCATCTGGGGTGGGCAAGTTTTCTAGATTTCCTGTCAAATCTGTTGCCTTCTACACAAACAGAACAAAACAGATTTGTTTCTTTATATTTTTAAATATAGAATGCAATTAATAACTGTGTATCACTACCAAATCAACTGAAATACACTGCCCGGTCAAAACAAGTAAGAAAAGTTGCTGTTTGGATTTAAATAGGCAAATGCTTAAGAGTTTATGACTGGATCATTATTGCAGTGATTATTATGTTTGTAACATGTTAAATGTTTGGCAACAGTTCTTCTAACCCATTTAATTGATGGAGTGTGTAGCTTTTAATTTCTTAAACAACCATGTAGGAAGACACATCATGGCCATATGTCAAGATTCATCAGGTTTAAATAGTGAAAGAATGGTTGGGAGGGAGCATGAAGCATCATTTCCACACATGAATTGGCACCTCTGAGTCTAGACCTTAAATTCAGTGAATGTCTTTGGGATGTGCTGGAGGAGACTTTACAGAGCGCTGGACTCTTGCATTGTCAAAACAAGATCTTGACCAAAAATGTATGCACTTGTTGATGGAAATAACATCACAAGATTTATTTCCATCAAGAGGTGCATACATTTCCAAGTGAAATGGAATATTGAATAGAGGGCAGGGATTTTTCTTTAGCGCACCTCCTCTCCATCCCTCGCTCATAGCAGGCATGACAATTTTATGATTTGTTTCCCTAGCTGCCGAACTTCAAAATGTTCAGTTGTGTTTACCTCTTCCATTTCCACTGTTTCATCTTTTTGCTCTCCTTGTTGAAGCTCTTTTTGCTCTTCTTGTTGAAGCTCTCCTTGCTCTTCTTGTTGAAGCTCTCCTTGTTTAATCTCTTTTTGCTCTCCTTGTTGAAGCTTTTTTTGCTCTCCTTGTTGAAGCTCTTTTTGCTCTCCTTGTTGAAGCTCTTTTTGCTCTCCTTGTTGAAGCTCTTTTTGCTCTCCTTGTTGATGCGCTTTTTGCTCTCCTTGTTGAAGCTCTTTTTGCTCTCCTTGTTGAAGCTCTTTTTGCTCTCCTTGTTGAAGCTCTTTTTGCTCTCCTTGTTGAAGCTCTTTTTGCTCTCCTTGTTGAAGCTCTTTTTGCTCTCCTTGTTGAAGCTCTTTTTGCTCTCCTTGTTGAAGCTCTTTTTGCTCTCCTTGTTGATGCGCTTTTTGCTCTCCTTGTTGATGCGCTTTTTGCTCTCCTTGTTGATGCGCTTTTTGCTCTCCTTGTTGATGCTCTTTTTGCTCTCCTTGTTGAAGATCCTGGGCTTCCTTACAATCACTTGATCTATCTGAAGTTGTAGCAGTTGGCACACACTCTGATGTCTCAGACTGTACGTTCGATGTGTCCATATCTGAAGGTTTAGTCTCATCATTTGACTCTTTCACAGTTTGGACATCTTCAAGTGTATCCTGTTCTGTCAGAGAATCTGCGATTTCATATTCCTCATCATCTAGCTCGTCATCTACTGTGAGCTCATCTTCTGAATTAAGTTCTTCACCGTCATCTGCTATAACTGCCACTCCTTCAAGATCACTATCATCCCCCATGATGTCAGACTGATCGTTGCCTTGTTCAACCATCTCCTCCACACTCTCTTCTGTTGTTGTTTTCTGTTTCTGGTCTTTTGAAGGAGAGCTTCTTTTGGAATGGGATTTAGATGAGCTGTCCCGTCTAGAGCTCTCCTTGGTTTTCTCCCGAGAGCGTCGACTTTCTTCTCGTTTCTTAGACTCGTGACTCCTGCGAGACCTGGACCTCTCTTCAGAGGCTCTTCTTTTGGGGCTGGGAGAGTCTCTTCGGGAACTACGGGATCTCCTTTTTGGGCTGCTATTCCTCCTCCTCCTGCTGCTATAAGGTACTGGTGATTTTTCTTTCTCAACACCACTGGACCATGGAGGGAAATAACAAAAATGTTAATATTTTAGAAGCAGAAAGGATGTTTTTTTTACATTAAGTCCATAATATCAATAGCATAGTAATGTCAAAATGCAAAAAAAAAAAAAACAATGTATCTTTACAAGTCAGCATAAAATCAGCAGAATGGGTTTACCTAAGCGACTGGTACTCAGCTGAGAAGCAAACGTTAATGGTTTTTCCTTTTAATTTGAGTGAATTGGTTGAATAGTACTCCACCAATTTGTTGGCCTCTTCCACATTGCCCATCTCCACATATCCCTGTACAAATACAAAGAGTCTTTACACTATATAGGTAACTGAAGAGACATAAGAATAAGTGAATAGAAATATTTGCAAAAAAATGAGTATGGCTACCCGGCTTGGCAGAAATAGCGAATGTTTTACTGATCCGAAACGCTTAGCGATGGCCATCAACTCAGAGCTTATGCCCTCTCCAGAAGGTAATGGTGAAAAGCTCACAACAAGAGAACTCTGTGAAACAAAGGAAATCAATCAATCAACATTAGTGCCGAATTATATAATCATGGTGCTTTGAAAAATTGATACTTGAGAACAAGACTTGTTGCTGTTGTGTTTTTTGTATGTTGTTTGTTGTTGTTTATTTATTCATTGTATTTCTATGCTGTTGTGACACATAAATTTCCCCCTGTGGATTAATAAAGTAAATCAAATCAAATCAAATCTCTAAACTAAAACAAACCAAGTGGACGCAAGTCACTTGGAAAATATCCCCGACACCTTAGATATAACTGAATTAGGTGCCTTAGACTGGGAAGCAAGAAGCTGAGCACATTAAGTTGAAGTGAATCATTCAATGTAATCATCATATCCAGCTTTATGTCCAGTTAAAATGTTAGGAAGAGGGTACTCATATTTGGTGGTCTGGTCTACAGCACCTTCAATCTTTCAACAGATAAGCATTTAACATAAAATTCCAATGATCATAATTCACCTGTAGGAAACTGAATGCTGCAGACAGAGAAAATTGTATCATTTCTCCTCTGATCCACAAGGGGTTGTGTAAGAAATATTTTACTATATCCTCTGCCTGGCCTGCTGTTCCCATCTCCACAAAAGCCTACAAAAATTAAATATTTATAGACAAATTACAAGAACAACTATTAAAGCCAATTAAAGCATAAAACTGATTCAAATAAATGTGTTAAAGGAGTTATATGGGCCATTCTACAAAAATGGTGCAAACAGCTGTCCACAACCAAAAAACACATTTAAAAAGCATTTAAGTATTAAAATCTTAGATGTTTACTAAGATTCTTCTATTATCTAATCAAACCCACAATACTATTTAAAATATCAGTAAGCTTTATATATATATAAAAACATAATTTATTGGGTACTTTCAATTGAGAGGTGGGTGTCCCGAACCCCTAAAATTTCAACTTATGAAAATAATATTGAAATAATTGTAGCTTTTTATTCCATTGTTTAAAATATATATATATATATATATATATATATATATATATATATATTTTTTTTTTTTTTATGTAAAAAACTTTATGTAAAAAAAAAAATGTGTCCCACATTTTCATGTCACTACCGAAACCAATCTTTTAGTCCATTGGCTGAGACCGATTTGATTTGAAACCAGGAAATATTCCTGTGTCCTTCTCTCTCATAGCTACATCCCATCATTTTGAGGTAAATGTGCTCAAAAGTCTGAAAATCTGTGTGTAACTTTAAGGAACGTCAGTACCGAACACCTTTTTTTCTGCAAGTAAGCAAACCTTTTTTGGGGTGTAATTCCATAAAATGCTATTTTAATTGTTACTGATTTACCTGTGAAACCTTTTTAATAAAATACCAAAAAAATATTTACAAGGTAGAAGATATAAAGAAAATCTTAACAGGTCAATACAACCCTTCTGATTAAATTAGATATTATTGTGTTTTGATAGTGACAAATTTGGGGAGAAGAAAAATATTCCAAAACTTTCTGAAAATACAATATAAGAATTAACTGCACAATTACTAGAAATGTGTACCTGGGATATTATACAATTTGTATACATACATACATATTTTTCTTGATATTTTTTTTCCAAGATGTTTCCAACTCTGACTTTAAACCAATTCTGTAGAATGGCCCATATGTAAATGAAAAATAAAATTCCATACCAATTTAGGAAACATGATAATTTTGACAATCGCTCCAAACTGGCCAAGCAATTTTTTCAGGTAAGCTTCGTCCACTTCATCCACTTCGAACTTTACACACACCACTTTGCACTGTATTAAAATATTGTCAAAACATTATAACATTTACAGCAGCAAACGCCATGTTTTTAACGCCGTAACAGCTCCTGTGGCTATTTTCATGGCGAGAAAATTTATGGTAAAACTATATCAGGGGTTTACAATTTATTTTACGAAATAGAACATCAAAAACAAAAACCCACCTTTGTTGTGGCTTGGGTTTTATTCAGGTTTTTACTGCTCGATGATCCACTTTTGCTGCCTGACGATTCATTTCTACTGCTTGAGGTTCCACCTGAAAAAAACAAAACACGATCAAAATGAAAGAGCACATCTTAAAGATGATCAAATGACTATGGAGGGGGAAAAGGCTTTACCTCGTTCCTGAGTCGATCTGGACTTTGAACTCTCGGAACGGGACTCAATTCTGTTGAAGTGTTAAACGTTTAGCATGTAAATCAACACATTTCTGGAATTGTGCTGTGTTTTACGAAATATATAATGGGGGAATAATTCTACCTTCGAGCAGATTGGATTGTCTGATCCCACTCTGGATATCTAATGGTACACAAAGAGGTTATACCACATTATAAAACAAGATATAATACAAAATATTATTTACTCCTTTATAAAATGTCACAAATAATTGCACATTGTTTGTACATTGACTTATGTTTCATGTTAAATTGTTACCGTCCTCACTCCAAATGTGTTTCTTAAACCACTTGACATTTTGTGTTGGCCAGAAATGAATATCTAGCGACAACATGGTTGACAACAAAGTTGAAGATAACTTACGTTTCCACAAGACTGAGTTGACTATTAGCATGTTGGGGTCCTTTTACATGCACAGACCAGTCCTAAAACACAAGTAACATCTCTCAATATTCAGTTATAACTCAAAGTAAATGTATAGACTTTCTGTGTCCATACGGATTATGGATATCAATTTTAAATGAAAGCATTTACAAATATCATGCATATGGTTTGTGCTGTTTTCACAGTGATAAATCTCAAGCCCTCCAGCTGAATATTAAATCAAATTCAACTACAGATTTAGAATTTTGGGTGTTCTACTTATTAACAGAACAAGTTAAACAAAAGCACAATGACCAGTAAGTCAATTATCCAGTCATTATTCAGTGAAAATATTACATTCCACCATATTTCTAAAATCTCATTCCTGCAGGTGCATGCGTCACACCCTGTGTATGGCATCAGTGACATCAAACTTCATTGGTTTTTGCATGTCTCGTGACCGGTCATGATGCAACAAATTCGCATATATGTGAAAGCGGGAATGAGATTTAAGGACAATGGCAGAGGGACAACGACTTCAGTCTAGCTATAGGCTTCTGAAGATTTGGCATACAGCGCCCAAGGTGACTGCTTTTATGTTACTTTTGTCTTTATCGTGTTTAGTACAACATGAGGATACATAAATGACATAATTTTCATTTTGGATTAAACTATGCCTTTAATGCTTTGCATCCTACATGGATAATAAACATGCTACTTGGACTTACCTCATATGCCCAGGTACGCTCATGTGTATTTTGCCTGAAATTGTCTGGTAAATAGCTGGTAATGTAGAATCGGAGAACAAAAAAGCTACTTACCTTGTTAGAGAGGACAGTGATTTCGCAGAGTACGCATGCATAGGGAAACACTGGTGGAGTTTTCCCATGGAAATCTGACGCCTCCTTCCTTGTAGGCACTATATGAATCACCGGTTTCTTCCGTTGATGTGAAGATTGACTGGCATCTCTGCTGGACAGGCGTGACGGTGGAGCAAGGTCTCTCATGGACAGGAGCGAGGGTAGACCAACGTCTCTGCTGGGCAAGAACGAAGGTGGGCCGATGTCTCTGCTGGACAGGTTTGAAGGGGGAACGATGTCTCTTCTGGGCATGAGTGAGTGTGAACTGATGCCTCGGCTGGAAAAAACCGAGGGCGGCCCGACATCTCTGCTGGACAGGAGTGACGGAAGACCAACGTCCCTGCTTGACAGATGCGAGGACTGACTGACGTCTCTACTGGACAGATGTGAGGACTGGCTGATGTCTCTGCTAGAGCGCTGTGAGGATTGATTGAGATCTCTGCTGGACAGGAGTGACGGAAGACCAACGTCCCTGCTTGACAGATGCGAGGACTGACTGACGTCTCTACTGGACAGATGCGAGGACTGGCTGACGTCTCTGCCAGAGCGATGTGAGGATTGACTGATGTCCCTACTGGACAGATGTGAGGATTGACCGACATCTCTGCTGTAGTTAGCGTAAGACTGCGAGACAACTGACGTTTTCTGCCTTGGTGGTTCTGTGGCATAAGATGACGCATTATCAAAATAAGACTTTTTGTCTTTCAGATGGTTGTACTCAACCACATAGTTTGGCTCTGAATTGGTGTAAGGTGTTTGAGAGCTTGTTTGTTGGACATCTCCCCAGCGGTCATCCCAGGTTGGAACCTGCTCTCGATTAAGGGAATACGACTGACGCACGGGCAAATCTAATGGATACTCAACCGACTGAGTGTGGCACCTATCATCCCAGGAGCGAGTTGATGTACTGGCTTGGAGCGCACTGGACCTAGATGAAGAAGTGCTAGACATTTTCTTCTTTTTGATCTCTGCAAGAAGGTCAGGAAGAGCATCGGCTGTGATGAGATGCTCAGGAAGCTCGGCCAGAGTTTTCAGGTCTTCAGCATCCAGTCCACAGCTATGTAGAAAGGACAAAGCCTTACCAGGTGGGAAGATCGACATTTCTGATGAAGATAGAGATGTCTGCTCTTGAGATGTGTTCCTAATTCTTGACATGTAAGCGTTAGACTCCCGGGGATGAATTCGTTGCGAGTCTTTGTACTTGTCATTGTTTGCGCTGAAATCGTCTGGTGGGTTTCGATATGGATGATTGTAAGACATGTCTCAAAGTCAAAGTTCCACGTGGTCAAATGAGTGTAGGACCCTTCAGGTACTGCTAAAAAAAAGCAACTCCTGCAGTGATGGCTGCTGCTCACCTGTTAAAAAGATGTCAATAAGGAGAATCTCCTTACTGATATTAAAATGTTGTAGAGGTCAGCTCCAGGAGGAAGATCTGCCGGTGAATCCAGTGAGGTGCGTCACCTGTTTCAGTCTTACCTTGAGATGAAAAATCAAATCATTCACACTTTGTGGATGTCACTGGATTTGCTTTTTAAAACTTCAGCTGTATCAAACCAGTACTATGACCATTAGTAAAGTAAATATAACCATGGTACATCAATAAACTGATAGACATATGTCCATAAACCTTTCTTAGTTCATTAATATTTTAGGCTAAATTGTGTTCACATCGATAAGGGAAAGCAACTTTAACTTCATAGCCTACATTTACCTTTTAAATGTATTCACTTTTGCTTTCATTTCAACATGGTTTTACAAAGTACTGTTGTGTAGTCTCCCCACAACTTTTAAACACTTTTGCTTTCATTTCAACAGGATTTTTTCAAGGCACTATTATGTAGTCTTTGATATTAAGTAACAATAAATATATTAAAACGGAATTTTTATTTTTTTATTAAAAGACAATTATTGTATATCAAAGCTGGTGATTTCATATAAACTACCTCAATGGGGAAATCGTGGATGGAGTTTGTTTTTCCAACATAAAAATAAAGAACAATTTTGGGATTGTTTTGCATGAATGTTTAATCGTTCGCGTTTAGGCCTGATGCTATTGCTAAGCGGCAAGCGCCATATTTCCGCTAATGTAATGACACGATATGACGCATCACAAAGTTACAAATATTACGTAGGAACTAATCATTTAGTCTTAGCCATTTATATAAACTCACCTAGCTGCTACACAAGCTGGAATAAATGATCACTGAAGGTCTGTAAAGCAGCAGTTCTGATGAAGGCTGTTCTTCTTGTTTCGTTTTTTTTTTACACCGGAAACGCAATATTTAAAAAAATAAAAGTCACCACACACGAGTCAGTTCATAACATTTTATTTAGAAATAATTGCTGTGATAACTTGGCATTCAGCACCAATGTAATGAAATTACTGTCAATATGTACCTATTGTAATTGGTGATGTTGCAGTAGTAGTTGCATAGTAACAATAACTGTAACCAAAGTAATGCAGAGAAAACTGTGGCTGCCATGGTTAAACCATAGACCATAAAAGGGTAAAGCCCATTGTTTTTGTTTTTGTTTTTTTTACTTTCCAAAAATCCCTGTAAATATTTGAGGTTTTAAATAGACCAGAGAAAGAGACACTGCTTTACTTACAAGGGAGAATCAGTCCAGAATTGATATTTTCTGGACATTTAGTTATTACAAAGCCTTGAAGTATACCATTGTCAAATGGTGGCAAGTAAAAATAAAATATACAAAAACAACTTTTAAGGGGTTTACAAAATAATTTGATTGTTTTAAGTTACCCATGTGATTTGGACAAGACTGATTATTTACATTATAACAATGAAGTAATTAGTTCACACATTATATATCCTTTCACAAAATACACACACACACACACAAAAAATGAATGCTGCAAGTTTAATAAAAGAAGAGAAAAACAAAAACAGTAGTAGCATTTAAGGCGTACAATGTGTTAAACTTCACATCTAAATCGACAGAACAGCTAGGAATTGCTTACAAATGCACCAAATTTCATCACTGCATTAAAAGAAGCAACCCCAGTCGAATTATTTTTAGAAGAAGAAAAAAGCAGCATAATGGACATATGAAGAGAAGTTCATGAGTTAATTTCTTTACTCCAATGCTCTTTGCTCTGGCTTCCTTCGCTTCCAATTATTTCAGATGAGAAAAAAAAAGGAACATTTGTTTCAGAGACGTTTTTGAACAATAACAATGTCAAAGTTAGTGATGTCAAAACTACTTCGGTTCTGCATTCTCACGAATCCTCTCATTGTAACAACAAAGTGTAGACACCATGTTAATAAGATATTCGTTGTAATAACACTTTGATCATGGAATTTTCGAGAGAGCACAGAACTCAGTGAGTTCATGCTAAGCTGAAGTGAAAATTATTTTTTCCACCATGTTCTTGGTCAAGATAGGCTGTGATCAAATGTATGGATTTGTGAAACAATTATTAGCAAAAACCAACAAATGAGACATTATCAAGAGCAGCATGGCTTGTTTCAAGCTATATTACATGTGGTGCATTTGAAGTGCCTTTTTCTCCAGTTTTCACAATCTTCTCTGATAAAACAGGTGGAGGAGTAACAGTCTCTTCATCTTCACCCTCCTGCAAAAGACAGCAAAGACAAGAAGTGGATACATCTTTTCAATACCCCTTGAGGAACCCGTCCGGGCTAAATTCTAGGGATGCACGACATATCGGCCACTATATCGGTGTCGGCTGATGTTCATTTTTAATGTTATTGTTATCGGCCCAATGAGAAAAATTGGCTGATAAATAATGGATTATTTCCTTCAGCTGAGGCACTTCAGATGCCATGATGGTTTTGAATTGCTTGAAATATGATTGGAATCATATTAAGGAAAATACAGTTAAGTGCAATGTCTATCATACGGGCTACATTAAATTATGAGAACATTATAATTGTGTGCTGGGACATAGCTTTTGATGGTGAGACTTTTGTTTTTGTAATCAGGCTCTCAAAATTATATAAATATTTGTACTTAGATTTATTGGCCAATATCAGTTACCAGCTTTCAAATATAAATAATTATCTGTTATGGTATCGGCCAAAATTTTCATATCGGTGCATCCCTACAAAATTCACTCAAAATGCTGTTTGACATGTTGAAAATCAGATATAGTGCACTGCCATATTAAAATGCACTACACAACAAATAAAGTTCTTGTTTTTAACCTTTCCAGTTTCTATGGAATAACAAATTAATTAGCTGGTGTCTCCGTTTATTAAAGGGTTAATAAACAATATATATTTTTTAATTATTGTGCCCTATACTCTTTAAAGAAAAGACTTAATTCCGATTCATCGCGACTTATCTTTTGTTGTTATCCACAGAAGAAAATAAAGTCATACAGTTTTAGAACAACGGAGCAGGTTTCGTTTTCATCCGAATTTACATTTTCTCCTCACATACCTCAATTTTTAAAAACAACACTGGCACAGCTGTTGATTTCAGATATCGTCGTACATTTCCCTCGTCTGATTTGAAATCGTCTCGTGAGAAATGTTCACTGCACAGCCTCAAAACTTCGAGAGACTGAATGGGTAAACAGAACTGGTCTCCCGTTGAACCGCGAGCAGCCAGAGCCTCAGTCGCTCAGGATCATTGAGTGGGAATCTGTGGAAAGTCAGCCTTTCCCCTGGAGATAACGCCCGCGGACGTAATCTCACTGCTTTCTGTCTGTTGAAGCATCCAGGAAAAGCACACATACGCACCATTTTGAAAAAGAGACAAATGCAGCTCTGAATCACATTTAAACTGGAGCATAACCCATGAAGTTTGTGTCCTCTGTTGTAAATAGCGCTCACGGTTGTATCGTAATCACGTCAGCCCTGTCGTAAAACGCGCATGTGTCAAGATCGGTCAAGATTCATTCATGCACTTTCAACTTCAGTTTTATACCATTCTCTCGGACCCAAAAACAATGCTCATAATGCAACGGCTATTAAAAGATGGTCCCTAATGCTAACTATGCAATTTAGTCATGATACAGTGTCATTTCTTTCCGTCGGTCATGGTCATTCCAGGCGAACTTGACCTAAAGGTGAAACAGCTCTTAATAGCCAATCAAATCTAAGGAGGCGGGGTTTACTGTTCACAGACGCTGAGCGGGAATTCAAGCGTGGCCGATAAAAGCAACTGAACTATAAAATGTTAAAGGAGAACTCCGGCGCAAAATGAACCTTTGGTCTAATTACACATTGTTACCTAGTCAACCGTTATCTGAGATTTGTTTTCATGATTATCGAATGTAAATAGTTTTATCTCTACAAACAGTTTAGCCTATAAAGCTAGTATAACGCTAGTATATTGGGCATAGTGTAATGACAAATAAAAATCGCTTGTTAATACCACTAACAAGGCTCAAAATAGCCCCACACTAGCACGGTAGCATAATGAGGGTCCCTACCTTCAAACCGAAGCATTGAGAACTTTGTCAGTGTTCAGACAGTTTAATAAGAAGATATTTTAAACAGTCAACTTCGCGTATACAGGCAGAAGCCATCTTTGAAATACAGCCTTTACCAGTCGATCTACGAACGACGATCCAAGCCTGCTGTTCGCGCTCACCTTATCACAACTTATAGCTCGTTCACATTCTCACCAGCGCACTTGGATCGGCGTTCGTAGATCGACTGGTAAAGGCTGTATTTCAAAGATGGATTCTGCCTGTAGGCCTATACGCGAAGTTGACTGTATGTTTAAAATATCTTCTTATTAAACTGTCTGTACACTTACAAAGTTCTCAATGCTTCGGTTTGAAGGTAGGGACCCTCATTATGCTACCGTGCTAGTGTGGGTCTATTTTCAGCCTTGTTAGTGGTATTAACAAGCGATTTTTATTTGTCATTACACTATGCCCAATATACTAGCGTTATACTAGCTTTATAGGCTAAACTGTTTTTAGAGAAAAAACTATTTACATTCGATAATCATGAAAACAAATCTCATATAACGGTTGACTAGGTAACAATGTGTAATTAGACCAAAGGTTCATTTTGCGCCGGAGTTCTCCTTTAAACGAACATATATAATCGGATGTGATGTGAGTCATGAGACCTAGTGACCTTATCGAATTTCTAGAATTGTAATTTCATTTACGTTATTCGTCGCAATAATGGACCCTTTTTACAGACCGTCATGACGCGTTTTAACGATCATCAGCATTGTAAATCCTGCAGTTTTTTTTTTAAATGTTCATTAAAAAATATGTACATTTATAACACTATTCTTAGTATTATATTACCTTTGCATCAAATAAAATTAAATAAAAAACTAGTTAACACTCTTTGTAAAATTGACATATTCTGACTGCCATTATCAATCTCCCTCTATTTCCCCTCTATTCTCTCATTCACCACTATTAATCCAGGTGATATGTAAAAAAATGTTCACTTTTTCATAAAAGCATGAAAATTGGTACACATGTAGTTTGGGGCCCTGAACATTTTCAGAAATGGAGCCATCACAAAAACGCCTTGTGGCGACCATGGCGGCCATTTTGCTTTCCGCCATTACTGAATTATGTATTTTGTATTATATCTCCTAAACCAAACAGGATAACATGGAAAATGTGATGTCTACCCCATGTTGTGATGGTCAAGGATTACAATGATACCATATACAACATCATAAACTGTTCACTTCCCTGAATTCACCATTAACTATTCACCTAAACAATTTATGATGTTTTATATGGTCTCATTGTAATCCTTGATCATCAAAACATTGGGATATACATATTTTCTGTTTTATCATGTTTGATACAAAATACATAATTTGGTTATGGCGTAAAGTTAAATGGTTACCACGAGGCGTTTTTTTTTTTTTCATTCAGTGCCATTTGAGTCCCCATGACATAATGTGGTATATTTTGGGCAAGAAGGGGCCAATACTAAATGGGTCTCTAAATGTTCATTTTACACTTAACCCCCCTCTACCATAAACCAGAATATATAGCCAGGATTAATTCAAATAATTACTATGATTTTAGTGCAAGTTTTTCAATATTGTTGTATATTCTTATTTATAATATTCCTTTACCAAAATATATTGTTTTATTAATACATTTTTAATGCTTAAAGTCTTTAAAATATGTTGTGTCCCTAAATTGAATGTCTGTTACTCTGATCGAAAGTCCACCTGAAAACACCCCTCTAATCACATGACTCTCAGGAAGTAGAATACTTTTTGGCGGCAAACTATTTACAAGCAGAGTAAATATCACTCCTTAATTCACCCTTTTTTCAATGTTTTAGAATGAATAATTTATGTGGTGAAGCATAACATGTCCACATTTATAATGGAAACTGATAATTGTTTGTTATTTTGAAAATATGGTTAACAAACAGGTTAAAAATCGTCCTCAGTGATCACTGCGCACTAGCTTGTTGTTCATCACCACATCAAATTGTTCGCATGTATCTGTCTGGAAATTGCTCTGTTGTCTGCTGTAGAAAAGTACCAACGCTACAGGGCACATCGTGATGCAGACCCTGAAATAAGGCAGATATACCTCAATAAAGAGAAGAAGAGGTGGATAAACATAATTGTAGAAAATAGCTAAGGACCCCTTTTAGTTTCTGTCCGCCTCTGACTGGCCTAATGTTTGAAGAAGTTCTAAATAGGAGAACAATTGACCATTATCTCTAAATAGTGTTGTTTTAATTTTCCCCAAAGCAGAAGCATACCCATACACATGTAGAATAGTACATGAAAAAAAAAAAAAAAAAACCCACCTGGGGCAGAAGTGATCAGGGATTAGGGGCATTTCAATTTAAACCCAATGCACGGGGTCCATGAATAGCGGACATTCACTCATATGTATGCCGTTTTACTGTAAAATGCTAGGTAACTGATTAATTCAATAAACAAAGGGGCCATGAATATATTCTCCTTTCACAGAATACAAAATAAACAAAGAAGAATGATTAAAAACAGTCAGGCAGAGTATGAGGAATGCTGGAAGTTTAATAAAAGAAAGAAAAAACAAAAACAGTACTAGCAATTAAGGCATAAAATGTGTTCAACTTCACATCTAATTTGCTATGACTGAACAGCTAGGAATTGCTTATGAATGCACCAGCTTTCATTACTACATTAAAAGAAGCAATGCCTCAGTCTAATAATTTTTTTAGAAAAAAATCAAACATACTGAAAAAAAGAAAACGCGATCACAGGGACATAATAGACATATTAACAGATGTTCCAGCGTCAATGGTTCATTTCTTCGTCCCGTTACTCTGTGCTTTGGCTTTCTCCTTTTCCAAATATTTCTGATAAGAAGAAAAGAACATGTATGTTTCAAAAACATATACTGAACAACAACAAAAATGTCAATGTAATAATGCTAATATTTACTAATAAAAAAGTGAATCCTCAAAATGTAAAGCATAAAGATCTCAATCCTGCTCTGACATCATTGATCAAGGACAGATGAAGGACAAAAGAAATGTCACCTTAAGTTTATCGTAGTGTGCTTGGCTACTGCAGTGAATTTTCTTAGCAGTGTCCTCATTAGAGTAAAACAGGAAGCAGATTCTGCAGTAGTACCCCATCTTCACAAACTCCACACCTGAAACAGGACAAATGAGATTCATTAATGAGACTTCTTACAATAACGAAATAACGATAATGAAATATTTCCTTAGTCGGGGTTCATAGCTTTTTATAATACATTTATGGTTTGGTTTAAAGCATTTTATAGCAAGCCAAACTGATTTAGTGTCATATATGTCCAAGAAGCTGAAGAAAATTCATATAAAACACTAAATTAATAGCTTGGTTGTGTCAAACTTCTTATTTCTTAGCAAAAAACAAAGTCATCTTACCCACTGGGACATTAGGATCATATGGCTCTAGAGTAGAATGGCTAGTTTCAAGCTTTAATTCAGATGGTGCTGTTGTAATGGTCTTTTCCTCGGTCTTCACACTCTTCTCTGAAGCAACAGTTTCTTCATCTTCAGCCTCCTGGTCAAAGGATACATCAAGCAAAGCAGTGGTTCGATCAAGTATATCCTGATAGCAGTGAGAAAGCATTTTTTTTTTTTTTTTAAGTACAATTTTTGTCTACTGCTTGGGGAACTTGTCTGGGCTGAACTCTAGATTAACATTCATCACAATTCTGAGCTCATGCGAGTCACTTAAAAGATTGTACATACCTGACGTTTTCAAGACAGTTGCAAAAGGTAGAAGGACAGTGATGTGTCAGAACTCACAAGTATTACAATGACAGCTCTTAGTCCAGGTGATGTGTGCACTTTTTCATAAAAGCATGAAACTTGGTACTCTTGTACAGTTTGGGGCCCTGAACATTTTCAGAAATGGAGCCATCGCAAAAACGCCTCGTGGTAAACATGGCAGCCATTTTACCTTCCACCATAACCAAATTATGTATTTTGTATCATATCTCCTGAATCAAACATAAGATGATGTCTACCCCTATGTTTTGATGGTCAAGGATTACAATGATACCATATAAAACATCAAACTGTTCAGGTGAATAGTTAATGGTGAATTCAGGGACGTGAGAAGGAAATCACAGTATCTGAGAACCTGGGCTAGACTTTATAATATCATGTCTGTTGCATGCATGTTGTGTAGAGTTTAAAAAGCTTGATCCTTTGGTTCATTAACCTTGATAATACAGTGACTGTAAAGAGTAGAATATTCAATATGATCTTAGCAAAATAGCTCAAAAAGAATGTGTCAAACACAAAGATTTACTTAAAAAAAAATCTATTTCAGAAACACGTTTGTTTGATTGTTTTTGAACCTATTCTTCAATGTCTCATCTACATTGACACAGAGCTGTGCACTTTAATGGGGTTTTTTTTGCATTTGCAATGCCCCCGGCAGCCTTTCTTGCAGCCACAACTTAAGAGTTCAAGGATGGACGGCTTGCCTGTGGAAGAGTTGAGCACAACGTTCTCCGATTGCTTGGGTCAATCAAACCCCAGTCTGTTGGAGATGGCATGTTTGGTGCCACCTCAAGTGCTTGTCCCCAACAGTGTCCTCCTTGGTACACTGCTCATTTGAGGTGCTGCACTTTGTTAAGAAAGACTACACGCCCACGCAAATACGCATTCATACGCATGTGTTGCCGTTTTCACAGATTCACGTTTTTGAAGTTTACGCAGAGATGAGAACGGTATCATTTTCAAAACTCATTTTCAAGAGCTTGCACTTTGAAACCCATTTCAGAGTTTTGCGTTCTCGGGCCACCAGGGCCCCGTTGTCGTGTGGATGAACGGCTGGACTGTCACAGCCAGTGAAGGCATGGATCACAGTAAGGGTCTTGAATTTTTCAGGACCCAGAGACTTGGCAATCTTATGGGCAGGTATGTATCTGAAGTTCTTGCCAGACCCAAATACCACCCACAACTCCTCAATGTCCAGCTCTGACACATTTGCAATGGCTAGAACCACAACAGTTGGTCCACAGTGCGCAGGGTGATCTTTTTAAATCCTTTTCTTGCAGCATCCGCCACATGGAGTGGCATCCTTGTACGTGCCTCTTCATGTGTGCAAGGGGCAATCTGATCTGATTCTTGTGGGTGAGGTGATTGGGTCTGCATGTCTAAACAACTTGTTTGGTAGTCGGCATTTCCACATTTCCTGAACAAAGTAAAAGAGTTCCGTTTTGTTTTTATCCACTCTCATGAAGCCTTTCCAGTTGGTTTGTTAACTTGTTTTTTTTCCCATCCACTCTTGTTCTTGTCCCCTTTCCCCTTTTCTGGGACTTTAAGCTGTTAATTTCATAGCAGTCCCATACACTCTGTTGACTCTTTCAAGTTTTTCTTTAATATGAGGTATGAAGATCTTAGCTATGTCTTGTTTCAGCATGTTGATGACTACATCTACAGTAGTATTTAGACATTACTGTCTGGGGCACTTTTTATTGAGGCACTGTCTAGGGCACTGCTCATACTGTTTTCTAGGCAGATCAGCCTTGTTTACCAAGCGTAGTCCACCATGAAGTGAGAGTGATTGGAGGCTAGGCCTGATTTTCGTTTTTGAAGACGTTTTCTAGGTTCCCATCACGGGTCTGACAGGCAATATAGAGTCTGGAAAACAGTGAAGTGTAATTTTTCACTGAGTTTTGTCTTGGTCTGTCCTCTTATCTGAGCCGTTTTAAAAAGAGGGAGCTTATTCCTCTTCAAAGGGGCGGTGATGGGTTTCGTTCCCTGCATCCTCTGCAACAAAGAGTTTGTACTGGTCTTGCCCATCCTCTCTGCAACCCGAACAGCATCCACAACAGCTTGGTCTGCAAATTCTCTTGAGTTTAGCTTCAGAAGGTTGTTGCTGTCCTCTGCGAAGGGGTTTCCCATTCCCATCACATCAACCAGAGACACCCTTACTGCTGAACTCCATGGCATTCTCAAACTCATCACTTATGCTGGGTACACACTACAAAATATTCAGGGTGATTTTGGACCAATTTCTCCCCTTCCCGACATACCAGATTAAGTACAGATTATCTTGATGGTTCTACAGATATTCTTATCAGATTTTCCTGTGGTGTGAGGTGTGTTAAGAGTGACTGAATCTGCTCGTCTGCCATGTTTGTTTACTTTAAAGTCACGTTTGATGCGAGATATTTTACGAGATTTTCCCGTGTTCACAGGTGGGACTCTGTTGTCTGTGAATGGAATCTGTTAGTGTGTGGTGTGCTTACCGACACTCCACACACTAGAGGAACAAGAATTATCCATTTATGATTTTTTTTATCATCATGTTTGTGGTCTCTCACATTTTGAAAATATGAAATTTTAAAAATCTTTTTTTTGGGGCGGCAGTGGCTCAGTGGTTCATGTGGGTTGTCTACAAACCGGAAGGTTGGTGGTTCAATCCTCGGTTCCACCTGACCAAGTGTCGAGGTGTCCATGAGCAAGCCACCTAACCCCAGCTGCTCCCGACGAGCTGGATGGCGCCTTGCATGGCTGCCGTCGCCCGTCGGTGTATGAATGAGTAAGTGAATGGGTGAATGTGAGGCAAATTGTAAAGCGCTTTGGTGGCCATTGGGTCTGTGAAAGCGCTATATAAATGCAGTCCATTTACCATTTTTACCATTTTTAGTGTGGCCCCAGCTTCAATTGATATTCTCAGATACTGCGATTTCATTGTAATCCTTCTTACGTCAGTGAATTCACCATTAACTATTCACCTGAACAGTTTATGATGTTGTATATCATTGTATCATTGACCATCAAAACATAGGGGTAGACATCACATTTTCCATGTTATCATGTTTGGTTCAGGAGATATAATACAAAATACATAATTCAGTTATGGCAGAAAGCAAAATGGCCGCCACGAGGTATTTTTGCGATGGCTCCATTTCTGAAAATGTTCAGGGCCCCAAACTGTATGTGTGTACCAATTTTCATGCTTTTATGAAAAAGTGAACATAATTTTCCCTGTTAAAAGTGAACATAATTTTGTTCATAATATCACCTGGACTCTCTGTATACAAGCAAAACATGAGGGCTTGTATCATAAATAAATTAAAAACTCTGCTCACTCTTTTGTATCCTCTTTGTTTTTTATATTGCCTGCGCATAAATTTGCTGGCTTCAGCAGCAGATCAACCTATTAATAAACGCGTAATTGCTTACTTTAATGTCGTCTGTGTTTACTTCCGTATGACAGCATGCTGCGTGACGTCTTTTTATCGTACTTTTGCGCATACGGGTGATCTGTTCACACTGGAATCTGATATTGGCCACATTTAAACAATGTGAAAAAAAAAAGGATCTGAGCAATAAATAGGAATTGAGCACTAAGGCTCACAGTATGAAAGTTTTAATCTCCAAAAACAACCTCCCATGTTGTTTGACAAGTTGTAATCAGATTTAAGGCAGACTCATAATACAACAAGAGTGACGCAGTTTTAAAACACTCCATCCAGTAGACTCCATAGAATATCAAATTAATTTATACGTTTCTCCACCACATTCCTCTCGGTCTGTGGTGCTTCTGGTTGTAGCGCAAACATTTGTGCCAGAGCACTGGAGCCGTCACTAGAAACAACTTTTCACACCCTTATATCTGGACAACTTTCTTTTCTAATGAAAATAAAGATAAAATGTCTTCTTTTGTGTTCCAAAAAAAAAAAAAAAGTCAAAGGTTTGAAAGAACATAAGGGTGAGTAAGTGATGGTAGACTTTCATATTTAAGTAAATGAGAGAATGGGAATTTTTCTTAGAAAAAATTCTTAGTATCAGCAGTTGAAATCATTTTGGAAAATTCTGATATTCTGATTTCATATTCCGGTTTCAAAATGGCAGTGTTGTTTTGAAACAAACCAATGTTGCTAACAACACTAATGTAAGCATGCTACCCTCATCCAATTCATGATACGAACAAAAATAATGAAGTCACTCACAGGTTCAGTCTCCATATTCTGGAGCTCTGATGTGTCTTCGCTTTGTTTCTCCTCTGACTCTTTCTTCTCCTCAGGAACAATTTCTGCTGAAACATTTTGGCTTTCCTTCTCTTCATGACTCTCCATCTCCTTAGCTTTATCAGCGACAGGCTCGTCCACTTTGATCTTCTTGACAGAAGGTTCTTCCTCTTTTTTGTCCTTACTTTTCCCAGAGGAGTTCCTCTGGGCCTCATCCTCTCCGGAGCGTTCTCTCTTGAGTGTCCGTTTATCCTCGGTCTCTGGGCTTGGAGGTCTTTGTCTGTGAGAAGATAATATTATCAAACAGATTCCATGTAACATTCTTTGGAAATCCATTTTATTATTTCCCATTCCAAAAAAAAAAGGCTGAATGTCCAACTGACCCACGTTTGAGCTGCTTATATTTCCTGCTCACGTAGACAACCAGTCGTTTGCCTTCAAATTTAGGTCGATTTTCTTTGTAGGCCTCTGCCATTTTCTCAGCATCTTCCCCTCTTTCCATCTCAATGAAGCACTGAGCAAACATACAAATATAATTTATTTTGTCCTTGTAAATCCAATAGAAAGTACAATTTTTATAATTACCTCATTGCGCAATGGATTCAGAAAATATCTTCTGATGTTTCCAAATGGTTCTGCGATTTTAAGAAGTGATGCATCTGAGCCTTTGAAGGGTGGAACATTACCAATGTAGATGACTCTGCCACTCTGTAGATGTTGCACAGATATAGGCGTTAGATTTAGCTTTTAGATTCACATTTTATTCATGGTGAGTTAATAAGCCCAAATCTTACCTGGATGGTTGCATAGGTGTGTGAATGAAAAACCTTCACAGGTTTTCCGCACACAGATGGTAAGACATTTCCACTGTAGAAACTAACCATTGCTCTGGCCTCTTGTTCATTGGAGAACTCCAGAAATGCCTAACACAGAGCACAACCACAACACTTTAAGGAAAAATCTCTAAGAATTTCTTATTTACAACAGACAGACATGTTCTCTCCAGCTAAATGGCAATTAAATAAATGCAGCTTGTCAATGGATAATAAACATTTTATACATACATTATTAAATGGTCTAGCATAGGGTTGGGTATTGTTTAAATTTTAACGATTCCGATTTTGCTTATTGATTCAGATTCTAATTGATTCCTAATTTTGATTCAAAAAATTTTTTTTTTACATCATTTACATTTATTCTAAGTCATATTGCAATACATTTCATTGCGTCTGAATACCATGAAAAAAAATTAACAGGCTAAAGAGCACTCACACAAGGAACTTTTGCCTATGGTTTAAAAATACCATAAAAACAACTACCGGTAGCCAAATTAATATAAATTTCAAGCATTATTAAAGACAAGTAAACACTCAGTAATTTAAAAATAAAATAAATAAATATAAAAACAAATAAAAACAACTGAACAAAGACACAATTGAAATAAACTGTTTTAAGGTTTTCAGGTATAGAAACTGTAATCAAATGTAAAATAACTGCACTTCATGAATTAAATAAACAGTATACATTACAAATATAGTTACACATGTTATTCAGTCTTTTGTTGTTTGATTAACGTTATTATAGAGAAGGCAGCAGCAATAGTCTAGCATCAGAAATCTGTGTGGATAGCTACAGTAAAGCTGCAGTGAGTGAAGCTGTCTGAACTACCAAGAACAGAATATCTGAGAGCTGTTACCTCAGGCCTCACGTCTAAGACCAGGTGCCGCACCACTTTACCAAATGGCTTGGCAAGATTAAGGATTTCATCTAGATAACCGTAGCCACGTTTAAATCCAACGACATTCACAACTCTCAATCCCTACAATTCCAAAACACACATTAATATTTAATCCAATCAATAAATTAATGCACAGAGATTAGTTGTAAACTATTTGAAAACATTTTAAAGTGACAAAGTAATAAGTGACTTACTCCACTATCCTTGGAGCTTCCTGAAACATTAAAGATGAAATGAGGCATTAATAAATGGACTGACTTTGGTTAAAAAAAAAGCCAGAGAACACTGACATTGTAGTTTATCAACAATATGATAATCTTTTATTATTATTATTTAACACTGTCAACTCAGTCCAAAGAAGGATCACTGCTAAAGCCATTGACATTGCTCAAGGACATTACCTGATGTGTTTGTAGCGTTGGACTTTGAGTCTTGTCTCTCGCCTTCCTCCTCCTCTCCTAGCTCATCAAGAGTAACAAACTCATCCATATTCTCAGGAAAGTCAGTTTCAGTTTGACTGTCCTAGAAGCAGATACAGATAGTCAGCAGATCTGCATGTCAAAATAGTGAACATGCAATTTATATTAAAGGAGTAGTTAGAAGTAGCTCCAAAGATGACAAAAGAACACCAGAAAAGTGGTCCATACGACTGTACAGCTTCAGAAGACTTGGAATATAGCAGCTTATGGAATATAAAAAAAGTTTTTTGTTAACTAAGTTATTGTAACATACACAGTGAAAAATTGCAAATGGGTCATGTCATTTGACAAAGACAGTATATGGTTTTTATATAATGTTTTTTATAGAAAAAACTATAAAAAATAAATAAAATAAAAACAGTAAAATGACATTCCCAGAGGCCTCCACATTACATTTTAAAGTAAAGGCAGAATTTGGTAGTTCAAGAAGATTGATATATTAATGTAATATTGGTTGGTGCCTGTAAAATATACAGGCACCAATATGCCATCCTGTAAAACCACAGTGGCCAGTTTTTGACCATACATTTAATGTCCTCTGGTCACTGTATGCTTTCGTTGTGTGGAAAAGATTCATGAGCACATTCTGCTTTTGCACTGTTTACATGAGGGTGAGTAAATGATAAATGATAATTTAAAGTTTTCAGTGAACTATGACTATCCGCGGATCGTCTGTATGGGCAGGTGGGTCAGAGCCCCACCAAAATATTCATCCAAACATAGACCTCTATATAATAAATTATGAATGTGTTCAGCATTCTGCAAAAAAATATTATTATTATTATTTTCTTGACTATTTTAAGTCATAAAGTGAGCAGGATATAATACAATGTAGTGCATGGATTCGGCAGGCATGTATTTATGATACTAGGAGGGGCAGCCGGTCTCGGAGCCCTCCCTAGCCCTACAGCGCCCTACAAATTTCCAATGTAAATCTGTGGTGAAAACTGGAACTGCACTCTCATATACCCCTTTTCCACCAACAAGAACCGGGTGCTGGTTCAGAGCCAGAGCTGGTTCGGAGTTGGTTCGACTGACAAGCTTACTAAGAACCGGTTTGCCTTTCCACCGGCTAGAGAGCCACAACAGAGCCAGATCTTACATCACTGCGTACGTCTCATGTTGCCCAGCAACGCTAGTGCGGTAGCGCCAAACACAAACACGCCAGGCTTGTTCGAGATGCATCGGCTTCTCGCAGATCGATCGCCGCATGACATCAAAGCACTACGAAAGCGATCCAAAAGCACAAGGAGTCGTATGATCTCCAAACACTCCCGCAGCTCCGATCGGTCCGCGCCGCTCCGATGCATCTCGAACAAGCCATCAACAATAACGGACGTTGCGTTACTATGGATGCTCATGGGTTTGCAAAAATACATCGGAATCCAACGCGTTTGTGCAGCTCGCCGTAACTTACATAGATGGATATTATAATCAAGCTGCTATTAGCTCGACTAGCTGCTATTTAAAAATGGCGGTCACAAGTTTCTATTCGTCTTGTTGGTCACGGTAACCCTGCCCCCAGCCCCTGACGCAAGCGGTTCTTACTTGGCTCTGTTCTAGACCAGCAATGATTTGGTGCTACTTAAGAACCACTTTTCCTGGTTCGGAGCTGGTGCTTTGCGTGTGGAAAAACAAAGAACCGAATTGAAACTAGGCTCTGGCTCCGAACCAGCACCAGCTCTGCCTTGGTGGAAAAGGGGTATTAGAGAGCCATTGGGGCAGATTTCTGGCTGCCCCGCTTATTTTCACGTGATCTTACGTAAACCTTGCTCTATCTATCTTGCTCTAAGACCAAGACGCTATCAGTCCGCTTCAGCTATGTGTCTGCATCTGGTCAGTAACTAGTTGACAAGTCTGTTTTTATGTGGAGTAGCGTATCAACTTAATGAAAGTATAATCCCTTTAGTTTGAACATGCTCATGTGAATATATTTTATATTCAGTAGTTCTGTTGTGTTTGTTTTATGTTTGTTTTTAGAATCGACATGACTTTGTTTCCCTCACTGGAATTTAACTGCCTCCAGAGGTAGCCGAAAACGCATTCGAGTGGATTGCTTTTGTAGTGTAGACGCTCATGTGGTCGAATATGTTCGAACAGCCACAAAAGACCGCCTACTGACCTAATGCGTAAACATTTCGGTAAGCGCACTAGCTAGACGGGATTTAAACTTTGTCGGCTGGAGACCCAAGTTTGGTTTGAAGACAAAAAACGTACCAAGCACAATGTTCTGCACCATTCCTGGTTTCTAACACACACTCACGGCGTTCAGTGTGGTCTTGCGTCTCGGAGCAGAAACGAAATCTGCTGCTCTCCGTATTTTTTTCTGTATTCTCTGTGTTAATATGTAAACCTTATTTCATCAATTAGATCAAAAGATCTGAAAAATTCCATACATTTACCCACCCATAGTAAAAGTACACTGTTAAAATACACTGTTGTTAGGAATAATTTAGTTCATAGGCCTATTATTTATTTCGGTGATCGGCCAATACTGCTTCCAGTGATTTGTAATCGGTGATCGCCTGATCGGTGCACCCTTAGAAAGGTTTGAGCAGAGGCATTTCAGATGATGTGCTAATGTGCAAAAGATCCTACCTGCTCTTCATTGTCCTCTTCAGCACCCTCATCTTCAGGTTGGTCATCATTCTGTTCCTGAGGGTCTTTAGGAAGCTCATCTGTGTTCTCCTGCTCAGCCTCAGATGTCGTTGGTTCCTCCAGTGGAGTCTCTTCCTGTTTTTCACCAGAGTCTTTTTGGTTTTCTGTGGTCTCTTCGCTGGATTCATTTCTGGCTTGCTGCGCTTCAGGGTCCTCCTCATCCTCTATGTTGGCGTCATCAATATCTGGTGCTTGTTCACTGGTTTGCTCTGGATCACATGATAGGTCGACATCATCTGCAGAGGGATCTTCATCAAAACCCTCTTCGTCTCCATCACGTGCTTCCATAACATCAGCTTCATCTCCTGCCCTGTCTCCCAGGGCCTCTACTTCCTCAGGCTTTGGTTCCTCTTCTTTGTCATTAGAGCTCTCTCTGGCTTTGGAAGTAGAGGACCTTTGATTCTTTGATGAAGGTTTATCACCAGTTCTGCTGGTGACACTGCTGCTACCGCTGCTCTTACGGGCTGGTTCTTCCCTTCCTTGGTCGCCCTTTCCTGGTGGGACCCTGGAACATCATGTATAGCACATTTGGTTTTGTTTTCTTACTAATTATATCATTGGTTTCTCTGGATAGAAAGGACAACTTACGTTAGAGTCTTATACTTTGTGCAGATGTTCAGTCGAATAGATCTTCCATTGATAGTCAAAGGATTGACAGTGTAGTACTTCACCAACATCTCTGCATCCTCAGCATTGCCCATTTGAACAAATGCCTGTTTTAAAAATGGTCAAAACATACATTTTAAAAAAGTATGTCCTGGAAATGAATGTATGTTCTGGAAATTGCTGCATATGTAACTTGCCTCATCATTAAGAAAGAGATGTTTCTCAACAGTGCCAAATCTACGAGATATTGTGAGGAGCTCCATTTTCTTGTCACTGCCTCGTGGTAAATTGGAGAAAAACACCACCTGGCTGACTCCTCTCTTAACAGGCCTAGTGTCTCTGCCTGGCCTTCCACTTTTCTGTATTGATAAAGCAAATAAGCCTAATTGAGCCATTTTAACTTATTTATACTTAACTTATTTTTTAAAGATTTTTTTCATCTTACCTCAATTGCCATTAGTTCCTTTGACAAATAAATGTGTATCTCTTTCCCATGCAAAATGGCTGGTTTTCGCTGATAATAATTAGCCATGGCCAAAGCCTCCTCGTGAGTCTGCAGCTCTAGGAAAGCCTTTGAGAGAGAGAGAAAGAACGATTTACTTAATTACATTGTCATGACTTTTGATCTTGAATGACTGTTCATACATGCACAGACACTAACCTTGTTTTTCAGTATTAGATGCTCACAGATGGTGCCAAAGGGTTTTGCCAAGTCAAACAGGCTGTTTGTTGACATCGGTTTTCTTTCGTATTTTGCCACGACCACCCTACTTCTTATCTAAAATAAAAATATTTATGAGTGCAAGCACCAAGATATCATCCACTCAAACAAAAGATCCCATACTGAAAAGGACATCCTAAACATATAAAATATACTAATATTTTAATTGCAGAACTGCAATTTGAACAAAAACAGATAATGCATTCAGTGCATTATTACCTTGGGTGCCGCTGCATATGATGTCATTTTACTTGTCATTCCCACACTGGAATCAGAACCTAAAAAAGTTGTTTAAAAATTGTGTGACTGATTTGAATTAAGCAGCTAAACAATAAGACACAGGAAACTAACAGTGTTAATGTTGCAAAGTTCTTCAATTATGAAATGAATACAATTTCAGCTAAAAAACAGCTCTAAAAAGACTATAGTGTCATCATTATTCAGCTCAATTTAGTTCAATAACACTGTCAATGTTGCAGACTTCACAAGAAAAGTGTTCATCATCTTCAAGTTACTTTTACAAGTTAACACAGTGCACCTTTAAAGATGACAGAAACACTTCTTAGAATACTGAATTAACTGGAATCTTTATTCATCATTTATGACTATTATTTATTGCTTTAGGGGTAAAACTTATTTTACAGGGAAAAATGTTACTTAGTGCACCTTTAATCAAAGTCACTAGTAAAACCCTACATTCAAACAAAAGATCCACTTGTAGAAAGACAGCAGACCAGACTACATCCTCTCACGGATTTATTACCCCAGCTGGAGCTCATCCCTGTTCTCTGTAGACCACCACCAACTGGAGCTGGTCCCAGCAATCCATCCGAACGACTCTTTGAGTCCATGGAAAGGGATGTCGACCTGAGAGGAATTCATTTTTAATATGCTTTTCTATACAGATGCTTGTAATAAGCAGGATGTATCATACTTATGAAAGCCCTATTTAAAAAAAAAAACTAGTAACATACATGCGACTAGAGGGCATTTGAGGATCCCAGTCCGGGTACCTATAAAACAACAGGAATGAGTTTTCAGTTGTTTTTGAATGACTGAGCTCTAAATGACACGAATGAAAAACAGCACAAAATAGCAACCATGTCTAGAAGTCCAACATAGTACATTTGTAATGCACTAGGATTACAGGCTGTCAAATACTATAATCAAATAATTATTATTTTCTTACGAGGTGAGGTTAGCATTTAATCAAATTGGTCATGTTCTTTATTTTTGCTTTTCAACTGAAGCTTCATGTTAGCAATAAAGGTAAAATTCTATAGAGGTGAATGGGAGACGACAGCAATCTAAACTGTTGTATTCCCATTTGCTCCAATAGAAAAAGAAAAATTGCATGATAGCGTTTCCACAACTTTCCACAAAGGGTTAAAATACTGAGATATTGATTACGTTGATCAGAAGAGAGCAAGATGTCAAGATTTCTGTCAATCCTTCAGCCATTGTATTAGAAACAACATTGTAGCTGCGTTAATTCATTTTCTACCATTTACTGCCAAGATAATTCAACAAAGTATAGCATTATAAATGACTGTGTATAAAAAAACAAAAAAACAACAACATTATATATATATATATATATATATATATATACATATATATATATATATATGAAAAACTTGACAAGATTTGCAATATTGATAATTGTTGAAACGCGTCATTGCAGTCTAAAATATATATGAAAAACCTTACTAGATTTGCAATATTGATAATTGTTGAAACGCGTCATCGCAGTCTGTGAAAAGGGTCCATTAAACCACTATGAATTATTTTGAGGGCTCCACTTTGATTGTTTCATGGTGATAATCTGGATTTCTTCATATTTTTTTACTAAAAGGTTTTATTCACCCAAAAATAAATTCTGTCATCATTTTGTTGGTGGAATGCTGTCACTCCAATAAAAGTGAATATGTAGAAGAACAAATGGGGTTTTATATAAGCTCCATAATATCTGTGTGTGAGGAATTTAAGAAGGCTTCAAATATAGCACACAAGTAATACAGGCCAATTTATGACAGGGGCGTAGGAGCAATTTTGAACCTGGGGGGGACAGTAAATGCTAGGGTGGGGGATGCTTTGCATATAAATTTTGTAAAAAAAAAACAATTTATGGGCTTATTTATTGACTTATGGGAACAGACTGTATTACTTAGTTAGGTTCTAAGCAGTGATTAAATTGGGATTTATTATGTGGGCTCTCCCTAGGGGGGTCCGGGGGTATGCTCCCCCGGGAATTTTTTTTGAAAAATAAACCATTAAATGGCACTTTCTGGAGAGTTTTGTGCAAAGAAATTGAGAAAATGAGTCTTACATGATATGTGAAAAACTGCAAGGTTAAGAGCATATACTTTGCATTGTTGTAGTATCAACAGGTATTAGGACATTTAGCATTTACATTACTGTTAATCAGTCATGTACTGATTAACTAAAAATTAATAACTCAAATAAATGGTTGATTTAATTTCCATTAACCACCTAGCTTACCCCCCAAGGATTGAAAAATAAAATCAATCTATCCTTGTGGAAAGGTTCCTTGGTAGCTAAAAGTAGGTCTAGCAAGTCTTATATTTCTGTAATTTACACAGATCAAAAACAAATATGCTGCCTGAATAGATTGCTAGTTTATTTTGAGTAGCCAGCTAGCAGTTCTCTTGGCAGTTTGCTAATAATCCGGTGTCTGAAGTAAAATGCTCAAAACATCTCCTGAGAAAAATCACATGGCCAACCTAGTCTTGGTTATTTCATTTAGATTTAGTCTTATTTTCCTTACCTTGTCATTCAAGGCCAGGCCACTTTATGTACATTTCTGGAACTTTTGCACGCTTCCACATCCCGCGCAACTAGGATCTCCTAGGAACACTCATTATATATCGCTGCGTACATTTATCCGTTTCACCTAGATGCGCATGCGCGAGCGGTGCGCGATCATGGTCGACTGACAACGAGATTAGCAGCTGAAGAATTCGGCCGTTTTTTAAAATTGAATTATGTATTTAAAAGTTGCCGAATGTATTCATTTGGAGACTCCGAAATCGGCAGAGATAGGCAGGCAATGCAAAACAAAATCTTACATTGGGAAATAGTGGGGGGGACAAAACTTCGATTTTGAAATGTGGGGGGGACATGTCCCCCCCACGTATAATGGCTCCTACGCCCCTGATTTATGATGCTGCTTTTGCAAGCTAGACAGCAGTGGAAAATGCTTCTGGTTATCACCATGAACTGAGCAGTCTCCACTGGATAATGTCTGATCCATAGTGGAACTGCACCTACTGAAGGCCAAGTTTAGGCTTGTTTCTAAATTACTATCAAGAGGGTTTTCCATTGAAGCTTATTTCAGCAACTAAATAAAAAATAAAGCTAATTGCTAATTAGCAAATAATAATTGCATGATATAAACTCGTAATTGTAAGTTACAAGGTCAGAATTGCGTGATATACAATTGCGAGTTTATATCTCTGTTGCGAGAAAGTAAATAAAAAATAGCATTTACCTTTTAATTTTTTTTATTCCGTGGTGGAAACAAGCTTCCATAGTTTAACATCTGAACAATCAGTTCACCAGTTTTCACAAAGTCTACTTACATTTGCAGAAGGAGTTTGCGGTTTTCGGAGTGACGAATCCCAGTCGTGTGTTGAGTCCATTCCTTAAACACAAGGAAGGGTGAAAAAAATATCCTTAATAAATATACATGACCTTTATGTAACAGTAATTAGCTGTGAAATCTAAAGCAATTCAAAGCCTTGACATACTGAATAGAAGAGCTAACTTGACAAGCTACCCTTCCTGGCTATGAATGCAATCTACAAATGAGTACTGTAATTGATCTAAAAAAAGGACAAAAAAGAAGAAGTTCTAGATACTAACTGTCCTAACTGGAACCAAGCATAAAGAACAAGTCAGAAATACAGCTAACAACAGTGTATACTATAAGCGTCCAATGAGATTTAGGGCCATTTTCTCTTACACAAAATTGATACTGAGCAAAACTAAGAGGTGCTGATTTAAATGCAACAAATGATGTTTAAAGATGGTCTTCTGAACAAGTAGGACTCAAGAAAAGGAAGTGAAGTGTGTGTGCAGGAGCCAAATAGCTTGAATTACTCACCATGACAGAGTGCACATCAAAATCACAAAGGGAGCACACATGGGGAAACATGAGGGGCATGACTCCCAAGAAATCCTGCACTTTTCTCTGAGACGGGGAGCCCATTCTTCTCTGCATGAACATGTCGTCAGATGTTGATGATGTTGACATGCCAAGGTTGCGGTAGGAGTCACGGGAAAGCTCAGAATATTGGCGGTCTCTGCCGCTACCACTCCTGTAATCTAACATGTCGTACCCTCGACCAGATGTTTCTTGCATGGAAGTATAACCGAAGTCACCTTGTGAGCGGCTTTGAGCCTGCCCACTGGGACGGTCCAACCTTCCACCCTGCATGTCGCCCCAATCGTCTCGGCCGCCTCTGTATGAAGTTTCTGAAGAAAGACTTGGCAGATCGCTAGCAATGTGGCGGCCAGCTTCCATCTTGCGGTTCTTAAGTTGCATGATAAGATGGGGCAAGGTCTCCACACTGATGTTCTCCTCTGGAACCTGTGCTAGTGCGTCCAGATCAGTCGGTGACAGACCTAGGCTGGCGAACAGTTTCATGGTATTGCTAATGTGGCTACCTGCTCGGCGGTGCAGCTGAGAGTCGTGGTCTTTTCCCTCCCCTCCACCCAGACCAGACATGCCACTATGTGACTGGGAAGACGAGCCGTAGGGGTCCGAGTGCGACTCACCCATACTAAAGTTCAAAGTCTCAGCGGCAGCCAAAAGCCCACGGCCAACAGCAAAGCCTTTCTGAGCATCAGAACCGGTCAATTTCTGGGACATGTCTTTGAAATGGTGGTGCTTTGGGCGAGTGGAAGAAGAGAAGAACAAAGTGAATCAAAAAGTCCCCAGAAAAACAATCCGTCAATTTAAGCCTGGATCGAGAAAAGAAGCTCCTCCAGAATGAAACAGCTCTGCAGAAACACAATGGAGCAATGATTTCTAGCATGCTCACAAAATGGTTAGCAGTGGCATAGGAAAGCAAGACAGTGAGCTCCACAAATCCATACAATGCAAGTAACAGAAGTAAAACGTTTTTACAATGACAGAGGTACAAATGGTACGCTGACCAAATAGACCATAAAATGAAGATTTACAAGTACCATGAAGAGCAATAAGTATAATTTACTAAGAAAGTTCAATAGAGCTTTGAAGGGGGGAAAAAACGTCAATCAAATTTAGATCCTTAAAATGTGTATGGGAAAGACAGGGAAAGGATTGCAGTTTCTTGGTCAGGAGAGAACCAAAGAGAGGTAATGTGCATGTCTTTATGTTGTACTGTATGACCAAAAAAACAAAAAAACAAAAAACAGAAATCAATGAGCAAAAAATTTAGTGAAATAAAGCTAATCAACGTTAATGCTTAACTGCATAAATAATTTGGCATCAAGGCGTCTTGACAACAGACAAACCAATAGTCGGGCTCAAGTAAAACATAAGGGTGCAAAGAGAGCACATGGTTATCTGAACAAGATTAGCATCTTCATCCAAAGAAAAGTGAAATTTTATACATTAACTGTGACTTGAAACTGTGGTGGTCATAATGGAAAAGACTATATCAAAATGGTCAAAAATAGAAAGAATATAGACAATCGTGTCACACTTGACAAGCTACTAATTTGTACTATTTTATTCAGATGGAAACAAATGATGCAAAAGTTTGCCATCGCTGTTTTTGGATAATATTGTTTTCGGAAAGCTGAAATAACGTTCTAAGAAAAGTGTATAAAATGGGCTGCCATGCAGACCGTGCCAGTACCATAAAGTAAAAAAAAAAAACACATTTAAAAGGTTATCAAATAATGAAAATGTTATAAAAGTTTAAAAAAATAAAACCGAATTACTTAACATAGAAAAGTTTTGAAGGACATTATGAACAAGTTTCACATGGACAGGAACCATCAAAATAGTAGGCACTATATTGGTGAAAAAATATAAAAACAAAATTACTAAGCAACAGAATTTAACATACCTTTAAACCGAACTCACTACTAGTGCAAAACGCAACCTTTAATAGAAATAATTATATGTTTTACTCCTAGTTATAAAAAGCAATACAGTTCCATATCACTGCATAGCACCCACTGGAGATTGTTGCTTTTTTGCATACTGTTTTTATCTTCGAATTGAAGAACATCACATAAACACAGTTAAAAAAGACTTTAAAAAATCCCAAAAGGAAAAATGCTTCTGGAACCAAGGCCGCTGAAAAATTCCACATTCCAAAAATGAAAAGTGGAAAGAGTCCATTGTACAAGTGGGTCTAGTCGTCATGCCTACGGACTGTTGGATAAACTTCTGATGTACAAGGGGCACAAAAAAAGGGAAACAATTCGGGGGTTTAGTCGTCATCCGATTGGTTGAATTCTACAGGATTTCCAGGAGACTTGCAATGCGTTCTTTAATGGTCTGCCTGGAAACAAAGCCATTGTGACGCCAAGCCCCCTCAAGGAAGAAGAAAGCCTTCATGTTTACAACTGTGACAATGAGCGCTTATCAGGATCAACTAAAGGCTGGATTTTCAAAAGTATGTGAAGTGCATGGCATATACTCTTTAAAAGACATCCAAGAGTTTGAGGCACTTAGTTGAAAAGAAGAGATATTTTAACACTTGCCGATGGGATATGGGAAGAGTATTATTTTCCAAGCCTGATTTGAAATTGTCAGAACAAAGTCTACAGATGTTTCCAACCAACTTAGGTGTTTTTCAAACAGGTCTCTTGATGAGCCATTTGGGCAGTAAATTTGAACAAAGTTCTTGAAAGTATGATTTATTGGTCGCATGCTGGTCTGTTATTGTATGAACATCAACTTTCCATGTTCACACCCCTAAACATGACGCAAAACAAAACAAACTGCAATTGGTTGCTGCTTGTCAGTCAGGCCTCTTGGCTGGTCTTTGGCCAATAAAAGTTGCAAAGTCCCTTTCAAGGAAAGTCTGTTTATTTGGCAGCCATATTTGCAAAGCCTCTGAAATTGCAGTTTCTCCCATTCATAAATAATATGAGTGAATAGTCTTTCTAAATCTATAGTCTTTGATGGAGTCCAGACCTTCTGTCGTCAGTCTGAACGTTTGGCTGTGTGAGACTAACATTTCAAAATCCTTAAGTTTAAAATATTCTGTGCAGTAATGAAATACAAATTGATGTCAAGACCAGAAAGGATGGTGGAAGAGTATAAACACTATGATGCAAGGCATTAATGTAACTACAGCAGATACAACTTTAAAATGTTTTATGGCGTAACTTGCAGAATGACAACTCTGTATCGAGAAGACTGATTACGTTAGTTTGAAATTATATGCATTAGTAAAGAAAAGATATCGGAACAGTGCAAGTCAGAGCTAACAACATGAATCCATGATATTATGAATCTGTATTATGCAGAAATATGAATTTAAAGGGGTCATATAATGGTACATGCACTTTTACAAGTTGATTGTACTGAAATGTGAGTTGGCAGTGCCTGTACACAACCATCATATAATGATAAAAATCCATCCAGTGTTTTTGTTTTAATCTCCTTATATGTTTTCCCCTGCCTCAAATTGAGCCGTTCGATTTTTTGACGTCACACGCTCGGAAGCCCCTCCCACGATTGTTGATTGACAGCATCGTTTCAACACAGACCCGCCCTCGCTCGTGAGCGAGCTGTCAATCATAGTCTGCGCAGACTGCGCGGTCATTGTTGATATGCTGGAGCACTGTCTATGAGCAGAATGGCGTCTAAGCGATTGTGGTGTTCTGTTCTTGGGTGCAATAACGAACACAGCAGTCATTTTAATGTTCCTAAATCCGAACCGCTGAAGACGCAGTGGCTGAGTTTGTTTTCGAAGGGAATATTCCCCACGAGCAACGTCAATGCTTTCATATTTGCGCGATTCATTTCTCACCAGACTGCTTTATAAACGAGGGTCAGTATGAGCTGGTTTTGCTAAGAAGCTGCTCATGAAAAAAGGATCGGTACCAGCTATTCGTGTTCCTGCTGAACCTCTAGAACAACTGAAGTGAGTGTAACGTTTTATTAAACTATATTAATATTTATATTAATCTTTGCAAATCGCTAGCTGCACGCTTCACATTGAATGCGTCTAAGGTTTACACTCAGGGTACATTACAGCATGTTTTCTATGTATGATGTTCTCAATATAATTCATAATCCCACGTTTATACTGAACAACGCGTTATGATTATTGTGTTACAAACGTGTACACACAGAACAGAGAGGCGGGGTGAGCAAAGCTCATTATCATTTAAAGTCACATGCACTGAAACGGCGTGCTGAAAACAGAGCTGTTTTTGACCAGGTAAAATAAGTGTTTTCTTACAATACTAATGAGAATTTTTAATTAAAGTATATTACAAACTTTTAATTTAGACCCTAAAGAATCATACTAGCTTGTACAAAAATGGCATTACATGACCCCTTTAACAGCATAAAATGTTTTTGTAGAGATTGCAATACTATCTAGTTTCAGTGCAGACGAAGAAAATTCAGGAAATATATTAATAACATAAGTCTTCCAAATGCTTAAGAAACATCCCACATCACATAAACACGACGTTTTTTTTTTTTTTTTTACAGCTTTAAATAAGGTTAGTGTCCGCTGAGCGTGAATCCGAGGGTAACTGATACGATAACATCTCACTTACGAACAATCAGATTAACGTTACATTAATTGCAAGTGTAAAACTTTATTTAGGCGAATATGTCTGACACATGGACGATTAAATCCAAGAAAATAGCCGCTTTAAACGCAACACATTGACGAAGTGTGATGAAAAGAACTAAGAAAATACCACGGGACTAAAAATGTGCACAAGGCCTAAACAGCAACCGTTCAGTTATCTAAAATATAAATTCTGTAGATCGGGTGTATTAGTCAGTAAGTTACTTAAAACAAGTGATAACATTATATCCTTTATTCGAATGCAACGAGTAGCTACTTACATTTTTTCTTCTTCTTCTCAACCTTCGGGATGAAGTCCTTTACGTCGCACGAGTAAAATGAGACCAAGCGCTCTGGCAACCGCGCACAACGTAAAACAGGAAACGATTACGAAACAAAATTTCACTTCCGAGGTGAATTTCAAAATAAAAGCACTAATAATAAAATAGGTGTTTGTCAATGCTCTTAGGTGATGCAAACAGCCTTGACTTGCCCCTGAAGAAAACAAGCTCTTATATGGTTCACACTTGCAAATAATAGGCTACATTCTACAAAGCTGGCAAAAATAAATCCCAAAATGAAAACCCATGTTGGTGGGTCAAAGTTATAAATAAATGTTTTAAGATATAGCCTACTGCCAAAATCCCATACTGTGGGGAGGGGATTTGTTTTTTTCAAAGCCACAGCTTTGACTACATTTTTGCTTTATTTATTTATTTATTTACGTTATTTATTGGGGTATAATTTATAGGCCTATTGCTGTAAAATGATATGATACTAAAATCACCCTAATTGTTTTGCTGTTGAGGAATAAAGCTCTGACCTGTGATGACGACACTCAGTGGTGGCTTGTGAACAATATTCTATGTGGGGCTGTTTGTACGGGGGTCTGGGGTTTCTCCAGAAAATTTTGAATTTTGTAGATGTGATTTCCTGCATTCCGGTGCATTTTAGGCCATGTCCCTTGCCTACCAATAAAAGAACTCAAACCAGTATGACCACAAAATCCTCATTTATTAATTTCCAAGGCATCCAGGATAATTTTGTAACATTTTCCCAGCTCTTCTTCATTCATCCTTGCACTGGTGATATAGCCCCTGATTTCGCCTCATAAAGCCCCAGAACCAGTAGAGGACCAGTGAGGGATACACCAGCAGCCGTCTGCAACAGATTAAAGTTGGAACATGAGCATTTTATGCAATTTTCTCCTTTTCACCTTCACAACTAGTTCAAAAGATCCACTTCATACATATTAATCATGGTAATTGATTTGTTTTAGATATACCAAGTGATGAAAGCTTCCACCAAACATGAGGGAGAGGAGGACTAGTCTCTTATCAGGCTTCACAGCAGAAGTAGTTCAGATTTCAAAGTTGACAGTGACAAAGAGCACCACCCAGTCCCATGTGGATCAGAATTTGCTGTTCCTCTTGGACCAAGGTCTAAAGGACGGTACATTGACAAATGATGTATAGATGTATCAACTCTGAATAAATAACGTCAGGGTTGACAGGTCACAGAAAGAAAGAAAAAAAATCAACCCAAAGCTGGCTCAAAACCCACCCAAAAGGAATGACAACTAGCCCAATTTACTCTGATGTTAAATTTCAGCACTTTGCATGATAAATTATTTAAACCTATATGAATATGAATAACATTGTCACAAAGTTATGCTGACAGGCCATCCATAAAATGCTGTCTAGTTTTTGTTTAAAAACGTGTTGTCATTTCACTTCCCAAACACCCCCATGTCCGTCTAAACCCGTAAGACTTTCGTTCATCTTCAGAACACAAATTTATTATTATTATTTTTACATTTGACAGATTTCTGTCCATCCATTAGTTTTCTATTTGAACACAAAATAAGATATTTTGAAGAATAACCAGTATTTTTTTTCCTATCTATGGAAGTCAATGGCTACCGTCAACTGTCTGGTTACCAACATTCTTCAAAATATCTTATTTTGGGTTCAACAGGTTTGGAACAACATAAGGGTGAGTAAATAATGACAGTATTTATAATTTATAATAATTTCATTATTGGATGAAGTGAACTAACCCTTTAACGGTATACGGAACTACCACTTTGGAGTTTCAATAAGTTTATAAAGAGATCAGAAAACCAATCCAAATGAATTGAGCGGTTTAATACACATTTTCTGAAAATATACATTTGCTTTATATGATGAACAGATTTAATTTTGGCTTTTTAATTCACATGAAAACATTCATCATTAACCATTCATTAACCATAACATTCATTAACCATAACACATCAGTTATGGTTAACAAAAGCTCAAGCATGTTCACTTGACGTGCAAGAACCAGTGAGGTTCATTCTCATGTGTTATGCAGCACATTTAAGCTTTGCAAGAACCAATGAGGTTTGTTTTCACACGTCAAGCAAGTATGGTTAAATCTGTTCATCATATAAGGCAATCGTGTCTCTTCAGAAAATTCGAACTAAACCGCACAATTAATAGGATTAGTTTGACGATCTCTTTATGAACTTTTTGAAGCATCAAAGTGGTAGTTGCATGGACTGTCAATGGAGGGACAGAAACCTCTCAGATTTGATTCAAATATCATTTGTGTTCCGAAGATGAACGAAAGTCTTGCGGCTTTGGAACGACATGAGGGTGAGTAAATGATGACAGAATTGTATTTTTTGGGTGAATTTACCCTTTAAAATGGCAGTGTACCAAAGAGAGTCTCAAAAACATGGTTTGAAACCGCCTGTACCCTGTGTCACAAATAAGTAACAAATCCTGTCAACATGCGGCTTTTCCTATAATCCCTATATTGCTCTGAGGGCATTTTAAAAGTGCAGTATGGAATATTGACAGCTAGTGGTTGAAATTCAAAATATTGGAGAGGGTTGTTTCTCCTGCCACTCCATCTTAGACTCTACACTCACGCTGGCCAGATTGAGGACACGCAACAGGAGCGTGACAAGCCTTACACTAAGTTGATGAGTTAATTTCTCTGCGTTTTAATATGCCTCTGGACATAGAGCTTTTTAAGTAGGGTAGGATCTGCAAAAAGGTCACAATTGCTGTCCCTTCCAATGACGATCACTGCTTTTCCTTCTTACCACATAAAGTGAGACTATTGGATAACACTGCAACAGTGTGCTTACTCTGAACAGAAAGGGACACTAAGGAGACCACATCATGCCTGTAGGGAGGTAACATTTGGAGTTACACATATGGATTGACCATTAGAGCTACATATGGAAGGTATCGGTGGTAGATCCAGCCAAGCCAGGGTGGAGTCAATACCGGGCATAGCGGCTCTGCCAAGGGAAAGACATGGGCTCGCCGACAGGGAATACAAATGTGGGATCACCCGTAGGAGAATTACAACACATAGGCACCTAGTCTAGCACAGGGGCTGACCTACTGGGCATACACACGAGTGCTAGACCTAGCGCCAGACGCCTCCCCCACATTCCGTCCTTAGAGGGGAATGCCGCTGCAAACAAGACACCAAACGAGTCCCCTCACTTAACTAGCTACTTGTAGCCAGTACACGGGAGGACACAGGCTCTACATGGAGATTGTAAAACCTTGCAAACGTGTTAGGTGTCACCCAGCCCGCAGCTCAAATAATGTCTGCCAGCGAGGAGGCAACACTCCGAGTGGAGTGAGCTCTCACCCCAAGGAGGCACAGCTGGTCTTGAGCCTGATATACCAAGACTATGGCATCCACTGTCCAGTGGGCCAACCTCTGCTTGAAGACAGCCTTTCCCTTCTGCTGGCCTCCATAGCAGACAAATACCTGGTCAGAGGTTCTGAAGCTCTGTGTGCGACCCACGTACATGTGCAAAACGGGACAAAGCAGAGCAAGGGCTGGGTCTGCCTCCTCCAGGAGCAGCGTTTGCAAGTTCACCCCCTGGTCTCTAAAAGGGAGTGGTGGGTCGAGGTCTCAGGATTATCGAGAGCTAGCCGGCCCGAATTCTAGGAACGATTTGTCGACCGAAAAAGCCTGCAGGTCCCCCCACCCTCTTGACAGAAGCAAGCGCAGTCAGGAGCGCTGTCTTGAGTGACAGGATCTTAAGCTCTGCTGACTGTAGAGGCTCAAAGGGATCTCTCTGCAGGGATGACAAGACCAAGAAGAGGTCACAAGAGGGTACAAGGTGAACCTAATGATCAGGTCGTTCTCATAGAGGGTGCTCTCGCTGAAGTGATTGTGTCTACCACTCCCGGGGGTAGATCACTTAAGTCCTCCATGTGCCATAAGGTGCCTCGTCTCTGAGAAAGCAGGTCTTTCCTCAGAGGAATCCGCCAGGGAGAGGATGTCGTGAGGAACATCAGTTCTGAGAACCAGGTCCGGTTGGGCCTAGGGCTGCACAATTAATCACAATTTTGATTTGGCTGTAAAGGCTGCGATTATTTTTTATGCGCAGCTTGTCATTGATGTACGGCTCTGTAAACGTTGCTCTATCTGAAAGCACTGGGAGTTTGAGTCACTTATAACATGCATTTGAAAAAGCAACACGCGTCAAACATCTTTCCAAACATGAGAAGCATTTATGAACCTCTTGTCCAACAAAAGACAACATTTAATAATATGCTTTTACTCCAAACTTACTTCATAATAACAGTTGAGCATCCTTCTGTGAGATGATGTGGCTTCTTACAAAGAATAAGGCAGTCATGTGTTTATTAGTCATGTTTAATCAAAGCATTTTTCAATCTTCTGTTTGTAGGAAAGATGTAAAATGTTTCTCCCAGCCTTAGGGGGGAGCTGTGTTCTGTGAGTGTTTCACTGTGTGAGTGAGCCTTTCTTCACTGGGTGGAGCTGTTTTTTTAATTCAGTTCTATTTTCCTTGTGAAAAGGTAAGGAGGGTTTTCACTGTTCTCTGTTACATCTATTTAATTTCTTTAATTATATTGGCCATCCCTGTAATTTGAAGAAATATATTACTGTTAAAGATGTTAACTAACATATATGTGCAGTTATTTGCGATGGATGGTTTTGTATTTCTGATATTATTTAATGGGTTGTAAATTCCATGTGGTGGAGTATATATTTCTGTGTATTGTATGGTGTTTAACGTTTGTCGGAGTATTTTGAGTTTTGTTCTTTGTATTTTGGGTGTATGTGACATTTGACATTAATTGTCATATGCGGAAAGTTATTTTTCCAATCTTTGTGAACCCCCGTGATTTGAGTGTTAATATAACTGCAGCTAAGGCTATGCTGTTTCGTTTTATAGTTTTGTATGCATTTTTATTTTTGATATTGGTTACTAACAGTTCTATTTTCCTTGTGAAAAGATGTTGCTGTGTGCTGCATAGTGGCTGATGCAGATAAAGAACGCATAATAAAGCTTCACTACTGTGACGACCACGATATCTGTGTCCTCCTCATTCAATCATCATCCA